TACTTAGAAATCTAACGCGAATATCAACTTTGGCCAGACGTCATGTCAAGGTGTTCTGATAAATTATAAAAATCCCTTAAAACTCAGCCTTTTCACTTGTTTGGTTGAAAACAGATGCTAATTGAGAGAGCAGAATGACAATGACTAGCTGAGGAGGGTTAAGGAGGCCCCTGTCTCACTGTTTCACAGTCACCCCAACTCCCAGGGACTTGGGTTCCCCGGGACCCTGGGAGAGTCCAGATAGAGCATGGCTCAACCCACTTCTGGCAAAATACTAAAATTAAAGATGTGCCCGGGGTTAGCCTCATGTGCGAAGATGGCTTAGAAAATCTCTCCAAGTACCTTTTTTCCATCTGAGAAATGGCTGTTTTGTTTCTGACTTCTATTTAGTTTTTTTTTTTTAATATGTTTTTATTGATTTCAGAGAGAGAGAGGGAAGAAGAGGGAGGGAGGGAGGGAGAGAGAGAGAGAGAGAAACAATGATATGAGAAACATAGATCGGTTGCGTCCTCCATGCACCCTGACTGGGGAGCAAACCTGCAACCTGGGCATGTGCCCTGACCAGGAATTGAACTGGCAACTTTTCAGTGCACAGGATGTCACACCAGCCAGGGCTTTATTTGGTTATTTTAAAAGCTAAATTCTAGCCCTGGCCGGGTAGCTCTGTTGGTTGGAGCATCATCCCAATGCACCCAAGGTTGTGGCTTAATCCCTGGTTGGGGCACATACAGGAATCAACCAATGAATGCATGGATGAGTGGAACAACAAATCCATGTTTCTTCCCCCCGCCCCACTCACCCACCTCCCTTCCTCTCTCTGAAATCAATTTCTTTAAAAAGGTAAATTCTACCCTTTCAAATATAGGCAGATATTTTATACTTGGGCTTTGGGTATCAGAACATAGGGAATTATCAAAATGTGGTTTGTCTTAAGTTGCACTAAAACCTTACAAAGTCTAGAGTACATTTATATACAGATACGGCTTCTGAGCGAAGCTGCACATGGCAGGGTCCTTGGTCATAACACCACTGAGACTGCAGTCCAGTGGAGCGCCCACCACTCCAGACTACTGGGGTCAGCCAGTGCCCACAGAGTGCTGCCACTTACCTTCCTGGCATGAATGAACTGTGCCCTACTACAGCCAGCAAACAAAAGAAACCTGATTCAAAGGACCTGGCAAGACACTTCTCCAAAGAGGCCATGCAGATGGCCAGTAAGCACATGAAAACATGCTCAATATCACTGCTCATCAGAGAGATGCAAATACAATGAGATATCACCTCACACTCATCGGTTGTGGCTACAGAAAAAACCCCCAACAAAACAAAAAAATAAACAAGCAGGTGTTGGCGAAGATGTGGAGAAATTGGAGCCCTTGGGATTGCTGGTGGGATTGTAAATTGGTGCAGCCAGAGGGGGAACCAAGATGGCAGCATAGGTAAACACCAGTACTCCCCGCCTCTCACAACCACATCAAAATTATAACTAATGTAGAAATGCAGAATAGCCATCATTCAGAACCGCCTGAAATCTGGCTGAATGGAAGTCCTACAACTAGAGAAGTAAAGAGGAAAGCACATTGAGACTGGTAGGAGGGGCAGAGGTGCAGAATGGGCTGGTCTGACACCCACAAGTGGCATGTTTTTAATTGGGAAGGGTATCTCCAATGCCTCCCATGAGAAGCAGGGGGTCCCAGCCCCACACCAGACCCCGAGCCCAGGGTTCCAGAGTTGGGAAGAGAAGTCCCCATAACTTCGGGCTGTAAAAACAGGAAGGGATTGTGGCTGAGTGACAATCCTGCTGGAGACCCAGGTGATCCCCTTAAAGGGCACGCACACAAACTTACATGGTTCCGCTTCCTCTGAGCTCCAAGGGTGGGGGACCCAGACACATACAGGGAGAAACTGGACTGTTTAGCATTGGGCAGGAGCTCAGGGCGGCTTTCTCCCAGATGGTGCTTGTAGGGGTCATTGTTCCTGTGCTGGGACCTCCCCCGTTGCAGAGCTGACTGGCAGCCACATATGAGTTTCCATCAGCCTTGGCCCACACTGTTTGCTCCACCCTGGTGATTCCCTGAGACCCTGCCCCATCCAATTTGCAGCCCCACCCAAGCTGTTTGCAGTGGCTTTTCCATATGAATGGTCTGTCCTGGCTCAGGCTTCAGACTTTACTAAAATCTCTCAAACAAGCAGCAGCTGGCATGAAATCTATCAATAAAAGGCCTAAGACCTGGCACCAGCACCAGCCTGCCTTGCTTCACAGCTGGGCCTTGCCTGAGCTCTTCCTAGTTCAGCCACCTGCAGATCTCTCTAGCTTCTGCAGGATGACTGCAGGCAGTGGCCAACTTTGCACCCCTGGGAGGCCCCAGAGCCAGTGCACCCAGTAGACAGCTTCAGACCACACCAAAGTGATGAATAGCAACTCTACATCCACAAGTAACACAGTCAAGGGGCAGACTCAGTGAGCACCAAAGCCCCACTGAAGCAAGTCCTGCTCCAGTGGGGTGTCTTCCTGTACAGCAGCTCTTCCATTGTAGACACAGTTGGTCATCATAGCCAATTGGCTTGGAAGTCAGCTCCTCCCAGTGACGCCAACAGAAATCAAGGCTCAACTGCAACAAGACTGCACACAACCCATAGGGGCGCACCTAGAGTGCCCAGTTCAGGTGACTGGAGAGGCTGAGCCACTGGGCCCTACAGGACACCTAATCCACAAAGCCATTCTACTAATTCCAGGAGACATAGCAGCTCTATCTAATACATAGGAACACAGGGAAGCAGCCAAAATGCGGAGACAAACATATCACAAATGAAAGAAATGGAAGCAAGCAAACTACTAGATACAGAGTTCATAACAATGGTTATAAGGTTGCTCAAGGATCTTAATGAGAGCTTCAAGGGACTTAGATTTTCAAGGATCTTAGTGAAAAAGGACCAGTCAGAAATTAAGCATACACTAACTGAAATAAATAATAATTTACAGGGAATCAACAGTAGAGTAGAAGATTCTGAGAATCAAATCAACCATTTGAAATATGTGGAAGCAAAAAACAACCAATCAGAGGAGCAAAAAGAATCCAAAAATTTGAAGATAATATAAGGAGCCTCTGGGACAACTTCAAGCATACCAACACTTGCGTTATGGGGGTGCCAGAGGAGAAGAGAGAGCAAGATATTTAAAACCTATTTGAAGAGAACTTCCCCTACCTGATGAAAGAAATAGACTTACAAGTCCAGGAAGTGCAGAGAGTCCCAAACAAGGAACCCAAAGAGGCCCCACACCAAGACACATCATAATTAAAATGCCAAGGGTTAAAGACAAAGAGAAAAAATTAAAAGCAGCAAGAGAAAAGCAGTTCCTTCGAGGGAGTGCCCATATGACTGTCAGCTGATTTCTCAACAAAAACTTTGCAGGCCAGAAGGGGAGTGGCAAGAAATATTAAAGTGATGAATAGCAAGGACCTACAACCCAGATTACCCAGCAAAGCTATCGTTTAGAATTGAGGTCAGATAAAAAGCTTCACAGACAAGAAAAAGCTAAAAGTTCATCTCCACCAAACCAGTATTACATGAAATGTTGAAGGGTATTCTTTAAGAAAAGAAGAAAGGAAAAGAAAAAGATAAAAAATATGAACAATAAAATGGCAATATATACATATCTGTCATAATTGAATCTAAAAAAATAAGGAATCTAATGAACAAAATAGAATCAGAGGTATGGAAACATGGAACAGACTGACGAATCTCAGAGGAGAGGGGTGAGTGGAGCATGGGAAGAGATTAACCGAAGATCTTATAGGTGTATATGCATTACCTATGGACACAAACAATAGGGTGGAGAAGGCCTAGTTTGGGGTAGGAACTGGGTGGAGGGGAGAAATGGCGGGGGCGGGGGGTGCGAAGGGGAGGACATCTGTAATACTCTAAACTGTAAAGATGAAAAAAAATAAATATGGTGTGTCCTCGAAAGGTTAAACATAGAACTACCATAAGATCCAGCAATTTTACTTCTAGGTATTTACCCCAAAGAATTGAAAGCAGGAACCCAAATGGATACTTGTATGAAAATGTTCACAACAGCATCATTCACAACGGGCAAAATGTGCTCTATCCACACAAAGCACTGTTACTCAGCCATAAAAATGAAGGAAGTCCTGACAACTGCGACATGGAGGGACCTGGAAGACATATAAGTTACATCAGCCAGTCACAGAGGACAAGTCCTGTGATTCCACTTACATGAGGGCCTAGAGGAGCCACATTCACAGAGACAGAGGTAGATGCTGGGGCTGGGGGTGAGTGTTTAATGGGGGCAGAGTGTCAGTTTGGCGTCATGGAAAACTTGGAAATAGATGGAGGGGATGGTAACACAACAGTGCGAATGTACTTACTGGCAGTGAATTGTACACTTACAAACGGTTAAAATGGTAAACTTCCTGCTGTGTATATTTTACCACAATAAATATATAAACCCAGATTTAATTAAGAATTCTGTACCTAAAAAAAAAACCAAGATGCCCTGACCGGTTTGGCTCAGTGGATAGAGCGTCGGCCTGAGGACAAGGGTACCAGCTTCGATTCCGGTCCAGGGCATGTGCCTTGGTTGCGGGCACATCCCCAGTGGGGGGTGTGCAGGAGGCAGCTGGTCGATGTTTCTCTCTCGATGTTTCTAGCTCTCTATCCCTCTCCCTTCCTCTCTGTAAAAAAAATCAATAAAATATATTAAAAAAACCAAACAAGACGTATGGAAATGTATATGGTTATACAACAGTGTGGATATATTTCATGCATCTGAGTCACACACTTACAAATGGTTAGAACAGTGAAGTTCCTGCTGAATATATTTTACCACGGTAAAACAAATGCAAATGTGGTTGCTTTTAAACCGTAAGAGGGTCTTAGAGTCTGACCAGGTATTGTGAGAAGCTGTTGGAAAATTAAAAGTGAATGTCAGTGTAACTTATGAGAAAAGTGTTTAAATCCCTATTTTTATTATACAGACCCCTAGCAAGATGTGACGTAAGTTTGGGAACCAGTGACCCAGGTACATGCCCTTGACCGGAATGGAACCCAGAGCTTTCTGGTGCTCGGGCTGACGCTCTAACCACTGACCCACGTTGGCCAGGGCTAACTGTATATTTTGAAGTAGGTTAGCTCTTACTTTCAACCTTTTGTGTTTTCGAAGACAGCAATTTTCATGTCTATGGATTGGTACACTAATGATCTTTTCTCAACGGTAGGAATTTGAGAGTGTGTTTTGCGGGAAAACTGGCAGGAGGCTAAAGTTGACCAGACCAGACTCCCTGGCGACGTGCCCCGCGCAGGAGAGTCTACAGAGCAGCCCTGCCATGGAGATCAAGTGAGCAGACTGGACACTGGTTCCTGGAAGCAGGCGGCCTCTGCCCGGCCGTGGGCGTGTCCCAGCCTGGAGCTCTGCGCCAGCCGCCAACTCTCGAGGGACATGACTCAAGTTGGAACTCCAGTGGGGACTTTGAAAGCACATTTTGTAAAAATATTTAGAACAAAATATAAAACAAAATATTTGTCCATTACTGTCCTCTTAGACCATTGGGATGCAGACACTGTGACAATTAGTAATTTTTCAATTATCTGTCTGATTCCATCATGTTTTCTTAACATGATAACTTAACAAATGAACACCCTTTGTAATTTCTTTAGTCTTACAGGTACACTGCTTTTTACTTATTTCCTTTACATTTAAAAACGCCCCCTTAGCAATTGGAAAAGTCAAAATGTTCTTCACTAGAAGTAGTTTGGAAATTCATTTCATTTGTTTATCGCCTCCCCTTGCAACGACTTCCAGTCACATGGACTGCATTGCAGAATTTTGCTAGGAAACTTCCAGAGACATCTTTAAAGCTCCTTTGTCCATAGATGAGATGTTGTCACCGTGGGCTGCTTTGGTGACCTCACTTTCACACTGAGTCAGTACTTTATGTAATAAACTATTGTTCAGAACTGAGTTTTTCAAACGAGTGGCTTTATTTATGACAACAGGCTTAGTGCAATACAAAGTCACTGTCAATAAATACTGTTGGTCAGAGACAGTTAACAGTTTTACACAAAAGAAGCAGGTAGGTCAGATGAGACCTTGGTGTGGAGGGTACCGTATGTGAAATCCTTTATTTTTGGTTACACTGGTCAGTCATGAATTTGAATTTATCATTTTATTGGGGTTATATCTTAGTGTACACAAATGCCATGTAAACAAGTTGCTGAATTTTCTCGTGGGCTTGAACACACTGCACTCCGTCCCTCCTGCTGGTACCACACGGGGCTTGTGTCCAAGGTCCGACGCTGCAGCCACATGGGCCGCTGTGCACCCACAGGAGAGGACGTCGCCGGCAGCTGGAGGACGCTCGTGGGAACCAGGAGTCCAGGCGCCCCCACAGGATGCAGGCCTCGCTGGGCGTCCCACCCGGGGTGTTGCTCTCTCCTTAGTAAAGGACGCTGCTGACCCCGTGTCCCTCCAGAGCCCACTGCTTCACTGGTGTCACGCTCACTTCCTAGGTTGTGTTTTAGGAGCTTCTAGGACCTGACTTTTCACCGCCGCCGCCCATCACAGCTCCTTGGCAAGCCGAGGTGTCGCAGATGCCGGGGGTCCCCTGAGCACCAACAGCACCAGGAAGGCCAGCGTCTCCGGGCAGCCCGGGCTCACCGTGGGCGCCATCTTGGCCGTCTTTGCCCACACCAGGCACACCTGGGGGTCCTTGAGACAGAGAAGGAAGATGAGTGTAGATCTGGAGTGAGAGCGAGCCGCAGCAGGCCTTCCCGTCCACCTGCAGCCTCCCCACACTCTATGTTACTGGCTTGTCTCCGAACCCTGGAAGCCCAGGGAGGAGAGCCCAGGCCCCGAGAACCGCAGGGCAGAGCCCCTGCGAGGGGCTGGGGCGGGTGGCGAGACAGGAGCAGTGTCTGGGTCTTGTCTGGAGTGTGGCAGCTCCGACTCCACCCTCAGGAGTGCATTGGTGTGGTGGGAGGAGTGCGTGGTGGGGACACATGGGGAGGGATGGACGGGGGGAGCCAACAAAGACTCTCCCACCGAGGGGGCCCCTGACTGGGGATGGTGGTGGAGGTGGGTCAGCAGAGGAGAAGCCAGCAGCCTGGGGTGTGGCCAGGAGAGGAGATGGAGCGGGGGGCGGGGTGGGGAGGCCCTGCACCCCTGTGGTGTGGACTCCCAGGATGTGAGTGCAGATGACGACCCCAAACAGTCCCCCAGAAGGCTGGGGTGGGGTGTGGTGGGGCTGGCCTTTGCTGAGGACAGCTCTTATATTTGACATTAAAATTTAAACATTCAGGGGAAAGTTTTTAATTCAGGGTACTTGTGGGTCCATTAAGAGAAAATTCTGTTAGAATTTAAGTGGAATGGATACTAGGTGGCTTTACTCAAACACTTTAACCGAGTCTGCTTAACTAAAGGGGAGCCAGGAGTCCCTGTACTGGCCAACCGTTCACGTATTGAAGTGGTTGTCAGATGGTCGCGAACCTCGCCTCAAAATCTTTGCCCGAGAAAGCAACTCCTTCATCAGACCTGAGACACTGCCACCCAGTGCTGCCCACACAGTGAGAGAATTGGGAAAAGGTGCCAAGACACAGAAGTGGTTAAAGACACTGGCCCTGTACCTTGGAGCCCCTGGTCTCCGTCGGGCCCGTCCAGACCCACGCCGGCCGCGCCTTTGTCTCCGCGGTCCCCCTGGCTTCCTATCAGAGGGATTTGACAGAAACAGGTGTTGAGACGGCGGAAGGCTTCGGGGTGGCGTTGCCAGCCACCTGGCGCCCATGGCCAGCTCTTTAGTCCACACAGCACGCTAAGGCTCCGACACGGGAGCCGGCTGAGTGACCGCCCACATCCCAGTGGCCGTTTCTGACGGTGTTGGTTTTGTTCCGTACTTATGCCTGTCACACGACTGACATTCCGTTGTAACCCTATTTTCAACATGGCCCACAAGTTGTGCACAGGTGTTTCAAATGTCCCTCTAATCGTGGGATCCTGGCCACCGCCTCCCATGAGCTCTGGTCTTTGCAACACCGAGGTCTACAGGAGGCCTGCTTGTCGGCCTGCGCTCTGTGTGCAGCTACATTCCTGGTAAGCGGGACCTGCACTGATGCAGTGACCCTTGCAGACAGCATGGGAGAGGAGCCTTCGCCTGGGAGAGGAGACCAACCCCAGCTCCCTCCATGGGTGTCAGGGAGCCTTCCAATCCGTCACCTCTGCATTAGTGAGCAGTATGGGCCAGGTGAGGAGTGTGCGGCCAGGTGAGGAGTGTGCGGCCAGGTGAGCTGTGCGCGGCCAGGTGAGGAGTGTGCGGTCAGGTGAGGAGTGCGCGGCCAGGTGAGGAGTGTGCGGCCAGGTGAGCTGTGCGCGGCCAGGTGAGGAGTGCGCGGCCAGGTGAGCTGTGCGCGGCCAGGTGAGGAGTGCGCGGCCAGGTGAGCTGTGCACGGCCAGGTGAGGAGTGTGAGGCCAGGTGAGGAGTGTGCGGCCAGGTGAGGAGTGTGCGGCCAGGTGAGGAGTGTGCGGCCAGGTGAGCTGTGCGCGGCCAGGTGAGCTGTGCGCGGCCAGGTGAGGAGTGTGCGGCCAGGTGAGGAGTGTGAGGCCAGGTGAGGAGTGTGAGGCCAGGTGAGGAGTGCGCGGCCAGGTGAGGAGTGTGAGGCCAGGTGAGCTGTGCGCGGCCAGGTGAGGAGTGTGCGGCCAGGTGAGCTGTGCGCGGCCAGGTGAGGAGTGTGCGGCCAGGTGAGGAGTGTGAGGCCAGGTGAGGAGTGTGCGGCCAGGTGAGGAGTGTGCGGCCAGGTGAGGAGTGCGCGGCCAGGTGAGGAGTGTGCGGCCAGGTGAGGAGTGTGCGGCCAGGTGAGCTGTGCGCGGCCAGGTGAGCTGTGCGCGGCCAGGTGAGGAGTGTGAGGCCAGGTGAGGAGTGTGCGGCCATCACACACAGGCCACCAGGACCGCTGGCAGGAATGGCCTCCCCACGGGGCAGGCGGGGTCCTGCCGTGCCCCTGACCTATGTGTCTGGAGGATGGGGAGCTCAGTACTGACTGGTTTTGCCTGAGGCTCTGCACTGCACATTCCCAGATTAATGTCACAGCCACCCTCAGGCACCATCCCGTGCCCCCCTGAGGAGTGAGGCCACGCCTCCCCGGGACAAAGCCCATCCTCGCAGGAAGGGGCTGTGTGATGACCGTCACGGTTAGACTGCCACACTGGTTTTCTGAGAGGATCCGTAAAGGTGATTAATTCATTTTGAATCTTATTTTCAGAAGTCGTGAGGTCTTTGGATCCCTGTGTGAAGAAAGCCTGTCTGCTCTGGGTGCCGGACAGCCATCCAGGCACCAGCCTGGCTCCAACACCACGGAGGGCGGGAAGTAACTCGGGGCCGAGGCCGCTCTGGGGCGAGAAGGCGCACCTGACATGCTCACCCTCTGGCGCTGGGACTGCTCCATCTCTAAGCTGGCTTTCAGAAACACAACTATTTGGTCCATAAATTGGAATCGTGAGCCCGACTGGCCGCAGGCTGCCCGTGCTGGCAGACGCCGCGTTCTAACACGAGCTCCGTGTTAAAGGCCATTTGGAGAAGGTCCGTGGCCAGCAGCTGCCACGCTGGTGTTGCAGGTCCCCAGGCTGCATTTCTGTCTGGGCACAGCCCGCCCTGCGGCGTCCACGTGGCAGGGCCACTCCATGGGTCCTGGTGGCCATGCCAGGATTTACCTCCTTTCTAAATTACGTTCCCTCGTTCTTTATAGTCCATAGGAGGTTTTTGAATTTTAAAATGTTTGCCTTTTGCAGCAGCAGTGTTGTATTTTCATGAAGGTGCATTCTATTCAGTATCAAGAGGCCCTGATGATTCGTCTCCCACGTCGTAGTAACCCCTACTCCCCAAACGTTATTCTGATTAGAGAAAACATCATATTTAAAAATGTACCTGCGGATGAATAAGGAATTTACTGTGCTTTTCCAGCAAAAGCTCAGCTTTTCAGAGTGTTGTGCGGCCGTGTGGACAGAGGAGGGCAGCGTGACGGGACCCGAAGCCAGTCAAGGCCCGAACGTCTACTGGCTCATGCCTGGGTGCCCTCGGGTCCCTGCATCCCCTCCCTCCCCCCACGGAGGAGACAGCTTGTGGAGGGCAGGTCTGGCTTCCATGTGGGGCTGTTGTGGGGCTGCCTGGACTCACCTCTGGGTCCGGGGTCGCCCAGCTCTCCAGTGGGACCACGATATCCAGGGGGCCCCCGACCACCAGGGTGACCAATGGAGCCTGGAGGCCCCGGGGGCCCCGGGGGGCCTGCAGGGCCGGGCCGACCGATGGGTCCTGGTGCTAATGGCTTCCGCAGGTGAGCAGCTAACTGTGCGATTTGCTCTTTGGAAACAGAGACGCAGCGGTTAGTCAGGAGGAGGGGCCCAGTGCGTCCTGCAAAGCGACGGCTGCTCTGCCTCTCAGGGGCGCTTTCTCAAGCGACTGGCAATGGCTCAGCGCTGGGCTTGTGACGAATGCGGTCAGGCCGCCTCTGCGTGCTGAGGCAAGCGCAGGCTGGAGAGGAGACCCTCGCTTTCTCAGAGCTGCTTAAAGAGCTGTGCATCGGAGTGGCCAGCTGGCCTGGCCCGCCAGAGCCCACAGGCACAGCAGTGTGCTCCTTGTGTTTCTTCAGTGGACACGGGGAACATGCCCGTGTGCCAGGCATGGTGTGACCCCGCCATGGGCCCCCGAGGACCCCGGGTCAGCGCGGGGCGGGGGCGGGATGTGGAGCTGCAGCCCAGGCGGGAGGCGAGCACTCACCGCTGACCATGCCCCCGCACAGCTCCCGGATGCGCTGCTCACTGGCTTCTTTCCCCTGAAATGCACCCAAAGTTTGTCAGCGCAAGGGGGGTGGGTGCTGGCACCTCGCTGAGGCCCCCGCTACCACACTCGGAGAGGAAGGCCACGTACCGGGACGCCGGGCTTCCCGGTGATGCCAGGCACACCTTGCACGCCCTGGAGGCCCACGGGCCCAGGGGGACCCGGGACACCCTCTACGCCGCTGGTGCCGTTGGGACCCTGGATGCCTTTTGGGCCCAGCTCCCCCCGACTGCCGGGCTGGGAAGAGACAACAGGACCCGCTGGGTGGGGGCAGCCACCTGCAGCTGCCACGTGGCTTCCGAGGAGCGAGGTTGGCGACGACCGGCCGCAGGGCCGGACGCTCCTCTGCTTTGCTGTCAGACCGCCGGCTACTCACCTCGCCTTTGGGTCCGACGGGGCCGCTGGCTCCCTGCAGGAGAGGGAAGGGAGCATTTTAATGATCCACATGCTGTTACCTGGGTGGGAAGCAGTTGCCAAGGAACTGACCCAGCACATGACTCTTCGAGGATGAAATACAAAGTCAGATCAGCCACGAAACCACCGTGACTCTGACGTGTGTCCCGCCCTCTATTCTGGGCTCCGCTCCTTTAACCCTCACCTGAGTGTCTCTCAGTCTTTATTGATTTGAGAGAGAGGAAGGGAGAGGGAGAGAAACATTGATCGGTTAGCTCCCGTACGCACCCGACCAGGGATCACTGCAGCCTAGGCATGTGCCTGACCAGGAATTTAACCCAAGACCCTTCAGTGTGTGGGCCAGTGCTCTAACCACTGAGCACCCAGCCAGGGCTCTACGGATGCTTTTTAACTTAGTTTCCCTAGAGGTGTGCTAGTCGCTGCACAGGATTCCTCATGTGGCAGTCCAGGGGCTGGCTCATTTGTTCCCACTCCGTTGTTATTGTCACACACGTGCCCAGGGCTCTGTGCCTCAATTCCCCTGTCTGGCTACGTCCCCTGGAAGCCGCCTGCCTGGGTGTAAAGGGGACATAGTTCCAACCAGATACCCGAGCGGCCGTCTGGGTGACAGCCCGTTGAGGCCAAAAGGGAGACCAGGAGCGAGGCTTTCAGCTCACACAGCCGAGCACAGCGAGAGGGTTCCCCGGCTCGAAGGCACTGCCCGCCAGTCAGATGAACGGGCGGTGCGTTCCAGTGCCCGTGTGGCAAGGCTGTCTGGGAATTCACACCATGAACAGCACACAAGGGAGACTACTTGGCTGCAGAAGTGAAAGGTCTGCACTGGGCGTGAGGCTCGGCCGGAGACACGGATGCTGCCTGAGCCGCGTGGGTCTGACAGAGGCAGGTGACTAGGAGCCCTGCCACACGGGGCAGCACGGCCCTTCCCACCCCGAGACTGCCCCCGGAGCTGACGAGTCCACGGAGACCTGACCAGCTCTATCTCCGCAGAAGCCCAGTTTTCTTCCATGAAAACTCAACTCCAGTGGCCACAGATGGAGCCTTTGCAGGCGGTGTCACTGCAGGACAGGCCTGTGGCCCCTCTCCCCCGAGGACAGCGCAGGGACGCAGTGGCCGCCGCGCTGACCCGCTGACCCGCTGACGCGCTCGGCATTGTCCACGCTTGCTGGGCCACGGCTGGTCCCGAGCTGGCCAGCCTGTCCCTAGTGTAACAGTGAAGTCCATGTGACACACTCACCAGTTCGCCTTTGTCCCCGGGAAGACCATCAGAGCCAGCGATGCCCTGAAACGACACCCAAGTTAAAGGGTGTTCATGCCCGAGGGGGCTCCCAAAGCTCGGGGGATGGGGGGTGGGTGGGTGGGCTGACACCCGCTGTTGGCGTGAGAGGCTTTTCTTCCCAGGAGAGACTCCTTGGGCTCAGATTGTTCTAGGTCCCCGGCCAATAGAAGAAGGGCCAGTTGCTGCCGGAGGTGGGAAGCAGAGGCAGGAGTGCAGGCCCATCTACCCCCGAGGTTCCAGGGAGAAAATGCTGCCTGGAAAAGCAGGGGGAACCTAGACCTGCCCCCGCCACTTCCCAGGGTGCAGCTACTGTGGACCTGGGAGCCAGCCCAGGTCTGGCTCTGGGGCTGGGTGCCCAGAGCTGTCTCTCAACTGGGAGGGAGCAAGGAGCAAGTGAGGGCCAAGGGCAGAGACGGAGGAAGGAGATGAAAGGGAGCCACTGCCGGGAGCTCAGAGTGGGACAGGCAGCTCACCTCATCTCCCTTGGGGCCTGTGGCTCCTCCCGGGCCCTGCAGAGAAGGCTCGGAGTTAGAGGAATTAGGGAAGCGAAGGTGTGTGCTCTCTCCCTGACGCTCCGTCCCAAAGCTAGGCTCGTGTGTGACCCCTCGGTGCGAGGCCTCAGGATCTTCCCACGCGACCGACCGCCTGTCTCCTAGGGGCTCCGCAGCATGGCTCCACTGCTTCCCAGGCGGCTCTAATTCGGTCTGTTTCTAACCCTTCACACACTCAGTCCTGGGCTGATCTCACGTGGGATTGCCGAGTCAGAGGCTCAAGAGCCCCCAGGCGGAGGCTGGGCCCTGTCTGGGAACTGTGAGGTGGCCCCCACAACATCCACATGCAAATGGTCCATTTGCTCAATAGCAGCCTGAGAACCAAACTGCAGGAAGTCTGAGACTGCCCCTGGGCAACTGGACCACAGGGAGGGCCGCTGCAGAAGTTCTTGAGGCTCAGCCTCCCCCTCAGAGTCCCGGTGCTGAGGGGCATCCTGCCCCCGGAGCTTCCCCCTGGACGCTAATGAAGGGCTGTTGTCTCCACCACAGGCCAGTGGTTTCATGTGTCCCAAGCATGTCGGGTGGTGGCTCCCGGCCTCCCAGGGCGCAGCGATGTCTGGAGGCAGGGGTGTCCTTCGCAGGGCCTGGGGTACATGCTGAGGAGCCCCGGTGGAGCGGGGCGGAGGGCCGAGGAAGATGCTCAGGGCTCCCACAGACCTGGTGTGGCCTGGCCGGGCTAGGCCACAGCCTCCTCCCAGAGGTCCTTCAGGCACCTGGTCATCTGGTCCCAGCCGGCCTGGGACCCTCTGTGCCCCACTGTCATGGACAGGAGGGACCCCCAAGCGAACCTACTGGTGTCACAGGCCACTCAGGGAGTCTAGGAGCTGGCCACAGTGCAGCCCAGTGGTGGAGAGTCATGGCCCTCATGCTTATTTCAGAGCCAGGTGACCCTGTGCCCAGGATGCTCAGCACCCCTGTGAGGACAGCCACTTACCCGGTCGCCCACGCTGCCGCGGAGGCCCTGGGGGCCTGGCAGGCCAGGGTCCCCCAGGCTACCCTTCCAGCCCTACAGACAAAGACCAGCTGGTCAGCACCCACAGGGAGCCCAGCAGGGGCCCTCCCTGCCCAGCTGGCCCACCTGGGCTCACTGGGCACACACCCTGGCCCCAAACCTTACCCACCTGGAAGCCTCGGATGCCAGGGGCCCCGGGAGGGCCTTGCGGGCCCAGAGCTCCCTGAAATCAGAAGGAAGGTGAGTCCAGCTCTGCCTCCCCAGGGGGTAGGCAGACACAGGCACTGGGCCCAGTCGTAAGGGACAGAGGTGGGGGGTGTCCTACGGGTAGTTGGGGGAGTCCCAGAGGGTAGGACTCGACACCAGGGGACCTCATGCAGCAGCCAGACTTGGTGCCAGGACTCGACGCCCAGGGCCTCCGGGTGCGGTGGCTGTGTGGTCATTGTCTCCATCCATGGCGGGGACACGGCCTGGGGAGCTGCCACAGCACCTCCCAGGGCCGAGGCGGGGTCGGCCTTTGTCCCCTCAGCACAGACGCCTCAAGAGCAGGACAGTTCTGGCCTGGCCCTCACCATCTCCTGAGTCTCCTGTGCTCAGCCCACACCACCCCGGCCCGCACAGACAGGTCACACGGCCCCAGCCCACACAGACAGGTCACACGGCCCCAGCCCGCACAGACAGGTCACACGGCCCCGGCCCGCACAGACAGGTCACACGGCCCCGGCCCGCACAGACAGGTCACACGGCCCCGGCCCGCACAGACAGGTCACACGGCCCCGGCCCGCACAGACAGGTCACACGGCCCCGGCCCGCACAGACCGGTCACACGCCCGGCCCGCACAGACAGGTCCTCGGCCCACCCTCCCATGCGCATCCCCACTCACCGCTGAGCCCCTGTGGCCAGCCTCCCCGCGCTCCCCCGCCGCACCAGCATCTCCCTGGCAGGGGGAGAGGGGAGAGGGGGCGGTCAGCGGGGCCTGTGCTCTTAGGGGGGGGGGGGGTGGCTGTGGCTACTCACCGGGATGCCGGGCTCTCCTAAGGGACCAGCCTCGCCCAGTTCTCCGGCTCGGCCCTGCACAAAGGGGGGCTCCATCTGGGACCCTGGGCTGGGGTCCCCTCCCCCTCCCCTCCCCCTCCCCCTCCCCTCCCCCTCCCCCTTCCCCTCCCCCGCCAGAGGAAGAAGCCACCTACCAGTTCTCCCTTCTCACCCTTGGACCCTGCTCGTCCGGGGAGACCCTGCAGGACAGAGGCCAGGAGTCAGAGCTGCCGAATCCACAGGGGAGCGCATGACCGGAAGCAGGGAACCCCAACGGCTGAGGAGCTTCTTTTTGCAGAGACCCCTGCACAAGCCCCAGCCAGGGACCCCGGGAGACGCCCTGTGTGGGAGCATCCACTGCAGCCCGGGCCCGTGGGAGCCCCACGCACTCACCGGCAGCCCGCTGGGACCTTTCTCTCCTGGGGCACCATTGCGCCCAGCCTCTCCCTGTGGGAGATCCAGGGGTGATGGGGTGCTGAAGCCCAGGAGGCTGAACTCCCCGCAGACCCCCTCCACCCTTCCAGGCCACTGGCCAAGCACCCACCTTCTCGCCATCCTGTCCTGGCACGCCATCCCTGCCGTCCTTGCCTGGCATGCCCTGGGGATAGGCAATGGCATGAGGCCTGACAGGCAGCATATCCCTCACTCCACACCCCTCCCCGGTCCCATCGCCCTCCAGGCCACCTGCTTGGGCAGTCCCCCCCCTCCCCCCCGACTGTGCCTCCTGAGCCAGAGGACCCTGAGCTGGTCTCATGGCTCAGTGGCCACAGTTCAGTAACCTGTGCTGCCCTGAGACCACCCAGGCGAGGTGCACAGGCAGGAAGGGGGCGAGGGCAGGGAAAGGTGGTGAGGATGCACTCTGATGCTCACTGAGCGCCTGTGGAACCATGTGCACCCTCCGCCTCTGTCCAGACTCCTCACAGTCCCTAGCAGAGTCCTGTTTTTCAGATGGGGGAACTGAGGCTGGGGCCAGGCCTGTCTGATCCCACACTCTTGACTCATTTGGAACTGAGAACACAGCCAAGTCTGGGGAAGGCAGGGGACGGCAGTGTGCCTCTTGCCCACCGCCTTCAGCCGCCTCCCCACTCAGGTGTCTGAGCTCCAGGAGGGTGGGGAGGAGCCCAGAGGGTCTGGGCTGAGTGTGGCACGTAGCGGGGGCAGGGGGCACGGGCCCGAGCGTGGGTGTCCTGCTTCTGTGTTTGCTGGTCCTACCCACCTCCAGCTCACGTGCCCCCAGATTACAGAGCTCAGCCAGCAGCCCTGCCTCCCCTGCGACCTTGGCAGGGCCAGGTGAGCACAGGATGTCCGGCTCGTGAAGTGAGCACCGGGGGCCTGTTCAACCAGGATACGTTTGCAGAGGCTGACAGCAGAGTGCTGAGCCCCGTGAGGGCCACATGCCCCCGACGCGGGGGACACGGTGCAGACGACAAGAACGCGGGGCAGACAGTCCCTCCGTGTAGGGACAGGCCGCAGGGACGCGGGGACTCACCGGCTCTCCCACAGGCCCAGCCCCTCCAGGGACTCCTTTGGGACCAGGTCTGCCCTGAAAGACACGCAAGCCATGACCGTTGGCACTGAGGCACGTCCCTCCCATATTGTCACAGTCGCTCCCCGGGGACCTGGGCGGTGGCCCTGGATGCCAGGTGTTGTGCTTGGGTCAGGGAGCAGCTGCGTTGGCCAGTCCCAGTGCAGGGCCCTCGGCACGGACACCGCCATGTTGGTGGCCAGCTCAGTCCAGGAAAGAACTGGCGAGTGTCCGCAGGCAGTGCCAGTTGGGGAGGTCATCCCATGGCCGGGTCCCCTCTCGGCTTCCTCTTTGCTGGCTGAACACCGGAGGCGCGGGCTCTGTGTGACTTCATCTCGCAGCTGTGCAGCTGGCCCAAGGCCAAGCACTAGTGCCCAGGCCTCTCGGGGGATGTGTGTCCGTGGCCAGAATTTGCACCCAGGAGCCGGGTCCTATGGCCCCAGCCCGCTGCTTCGGGGGCAGGGGGACTTGTCAGGGGACCGTAGCTTCAAGGAGCTGCTGGGCAAACGGGGTGGAGGCTCCCAGGCAGGCCAGGCCCCCACCTGCCCAGCGGCCACCCGCCCCCCCGCAGGAAAGGGCCGTCCCTGTGTCCCTTGGCATGTGACATCGTGTGTCCTCCCCCTCCCCCCAGGCCAGGTTCTTTTGAGGAAGGACCCAGAGGAGCAAGCTTCTCTCACTTACGAGGTCGCCCTTGGGCCCGCGGAACCCTTCTGGGCCCCTCTCGCCTCTGTCACCCTGAAATGACAAGGACAGAGTTCACAACTCAAGCAAGTGGGAGAGTTAGACTGAGGGGTGACTGGCAGGATCAGCCTGCAAGTGGTCAGAGGTGGCAGGACCGAGGCTGCTGAGGGCCACAGAGGCCAGAAGAATGCCCACCACACCTCACTCCGTCCAGAGAGAGAAGGTGCAAATCTTCCATCAAGGACAGACCCACGACTCTGATAAAGTCTCTCCCCAGGTGTGCCCACTGGTTATGGCCAGGTGTGCCCACTGGTACCTGCCCAGGTGCACCCACTGGTTATGGCCAGGTGTGCCCACAGATACCTTCCCAGGTGTACCCACAGGTGCACCCACTGGTTATGGCCAGGTGTGTCCACTGGTACCTGCCCAGGTGCACCCACTGGTTATGCCCAGGTGTGCCCACAGATACCTTCCCAGGTGTACCCACAGGTGCACCCACTGGTTATGGCCAGGTGTGCCCACTGGTACCTGCCCAGGTGTACCCACAGGTGTGCCCACTGGTTATGGCCAGGTGTACCCACTGGTTATCCCCAGGTGTACCCAGAGGTACCTGCCCAGGTGTACCCACAGGTGTGCCCACTGGTTATGCCCAGGTGTACCCACAGGTACCTTCCCAGGTGTACCCACATGTGTGCCCACTGGTTATGCCCAAGTGTGCCCACAGGTGTGCCCACTGGTTATGCCCAGGTGTGCCCACAGGTGTGCCCATTGGTTATGCCCAGGTGTACCCACAGGTGTGCCCATTGGTTATGGCCAGGTGTGCCCACAGGTACCTGCCCAGGTGTACCCACAGGTGTGCCCACAGGTACCTGCCCAGGTGTACCCACAGGTGTGCCCACTGGTTATGCCGAGGTGTGCCCACACAGCAGAATGGCTCAGCCCTGGGAATGTACAGTGAAGCCCAGTGGGGCTGGGGAGGCGTCTGAGTGAGGAACAGAGAAGGGAACAGGGAGCTTGGGTCTGCATGGGCCCCCCACCCCCAGGACTCACACATACCGCTTTCCCGGGGGCTCCTGGGATCCCGGGGGGTCCTCGAAACCCGATGGGACCCTGTAGAGAAGAGGGGGCATCTGGGCCTCACTTCTGAGCCTGGCCAGCAACCAAGAGAGGACCCTGCTCCATGTGGAAGGCCCTGCCTCGAGCACCCCCCCGAGCACCCCCAGCAGACCCCTCCTTAGTTAGCCACCTAGTGGTCCCCAAGCCCCCTTCCACGCTTGCCAAGGCCTCCCTCTTGTCCCATCCTCCTGGACCTGGGCTCTGGAGACGACCGAGTGAGGGCTCAGAGGCAGCCTCGCCAAGTCACACAGCCATCTGTGGCCACTGGGGAGGTCTGGAGGTGGCCCCCCAACCGCCTGTGCTGACGGCCTAGCCCAAAGCCCATCACGTGCGGGAGGGTGGGTGCTGGCGGGTGGGTGCTGGCAGACTTACCCGGTCCCCGGGGGGCCCGAGCGGCCCTGGCAGTCCTCGGAGCCCCCGAGGGCCCTGTGGGGAGAGAGCTGGAGATGCAGGGCCAGGCCAAAGCCCCCCAGGACTGCCCTGCCCCGGGAGCCACTGAGTGGCCCTGGTGGCTTCCCTAGAAGCCCTCAGCCTCAGCTCAGGCCCCGAAGGGTGGGGCCACACACCCTTAGGATCAGCACCCTGAGAGGAAGGGACCATCCCCCACAGCCTCGAGCTGTCCAAGGGGCTCCCATCCCACACCATCACCCTGTCCAGCCCCTCCCCGACTCACCTGCAGCCCCACTGTGCCAGGGATGCCGGGGGACCCAGGGGGGCCGGGGTCACCCTGCAGAGGAGGAGGAGAAAGTGATGGTGGTGGGGTCAGCCCCAAGCTCTCACAACCCCTTCCATGCCCGCCCGCTCCGCCCCTCATGCTGGCCCGCCTCCAGAGACAGACTCCCAGCCACTCCTGGCTGGGGCGGCCCCTCTGCTGCCCAAGTGGCAGTCTGGCCACTCCATGCTAGGGGGCACCTGGCCCAGCCCCAGCCTGTGGTGAGGAAAAGATGCCCCCATGGGCAGTGGCTGTAGGGACGGTGGCAGGGCTGCTGGGGCCACTTCGAGCTGAAGCCAGACTTCTCTGGCCAGCCGTGGGGCCTGCCCAGGCCTGCTGGGGACGTGTCCATAGAAGCTCCTCAGTCAGGCACGCCCTCGATGCCACCGCCGCCACGCACCCGCCACCACCACTCAAATGCCCTCCCCTCCAGCGGCCACCACCAGGGTACCTTTTCGCCATCTTTGCCGACTTCTCCTTGTTCCCCTTTGTAGCCAGTGGGTCCCTAAAAGCCAGTGGTGGGTGATGAGTCACAGCCTGACACCTCTTCCCCTACCCCCAATCCCCCCACCCTGGGCCAAGGCTCCACGGGGAGACAGCCCAGGTTGGGACAGGGCTGGTCACGAGGGTGCAGCTGGGCCAGGAAAGAGCTCTCTCAGCGAGCATGCTCGCTGATTGGGGGGGTAGAGCAAGGCCCCCAGGCAGGGTGGGAAGCCAGCCCCCCTTTCTAGACTCCCACCTCCCCCATCTCAGCCCATACAGGTGCTGGGCTGCCCTTTCAGGGCGTGGAGGTGGGCTAAGGTCTGAGTCACCCTGTGGCCACACCACTCACCTTGAACCCTGGCATTCCTGGGGGGCCGGGGGGCCCTGGCGGGCAGATGGCCGGGCACTGTCGGAAAAGAGTGGTCAGACCCCCCCACCCCCCGAGACACAGGGACCCCGGGAACTCCGAGCCAGACCCCAAGACAGCTCAGCACCAGGGCCCGGAGGCAGGTCATCCTAATACGAAGGGGTCCCCGGGCCGCACGGCCTCATTCCGGGCTGCCCAGGCTCTGTAGGAGCCAGACCTTCGCCACTAGGCCCCTGGCCTCCTCACAGCCGGCTCCAATTTCTCAGCCTCGGTGCAGGCGCCACAGGTTCAAGGCAGCTATTCAGTGAGTGTCTGCGGCCTCACAAAGGCGCCTTCATGCGAGCCCCACTCCCTGCAGTGAGTGTCAGGCGGTTCCTGCACAAACGCTTCAGGAAGGACGTGTCCCTCAGGCACAGACTGGATGCTCCATGTTGGGGAGGCTGTGGGGTGGGGGCCTAAGGATTCTAGATCATTCCACGGCTGATCTGGCACGGAACCGAGGCCATCGACCACAGTGTCTGGCGGACTCATCAGGGACAGCCATTGCTCTCACTCTGGAAGAGGCCCCTCCTTCTGGGGCGCGGGTGGGGCGGGAAGAGACGGCAGACAGCCCCAGAGGGTGACCAGCTGCCGGCCCTCCCGCGGGCGGAGCACAGGTCTGGCCGCCCGCCACCGCTTCCCCTTTGACACAAGTGACAAAGCTCAAAGGCCAAGATAACAGTGAACAGTCCGGAACCTTCTGCGATGGCACATTGGATTCTCACTGTTGCATGTGGCTCCTGCAGAGCTGGACTGGGACAGGGGGGAGGTGGGAGGGGGTGGGGGAGGTGGGAGGGGTGGGCAAGGCTATGCCCAGACCCCATCTCTGCCTTCCTTCTGGGAGGGAACAGGCTGATTCCCCAGATGGATGTCTGAGGCAGGGGATCAGGCCAGACCCCCTCCCACCAAGACAGGCACCCCAGCCCCTTCGCGAGCAATGCCCACCTGAAGGTCAGTAGCGCCTTCGGGGAGGACCCCTGGGTGACCCTGGAACGAGATGGCTGACTGTGACACTGCCCACCCACCTTCCCCCCTCCCCATCCTCACCACTCAGGGACCACTGGGGGCCTTGGGCCCTCATCCCTCCTGTGGTCAGAGCCGAGTGCTACTGGCCCATCTGCAGGGCATGTGACCAGGACAGAAGCCCTGACCATCCCCACCCTCTGCTCGGCCCTGGTCATGAGGGTGCAGCCTCGAGGGGAGGGGTGTGGTACAGATCTTGGATGAGGGCCAGGGGAGGGGTGCTTGGGGACAGAGGACCAAGCCCACCATGCAGTCACCCAGAGCCCCTGCCCAGTACTCACAGGGGGTCCAGGAGGTCCCGGAGGGCCAGGCAGGCCTGGGAGTCCAGAGGGTCCCTGGGGGGTGTTATGACTTAGGTGCACAGGCCCATCCCCCACCGAGGTGAGGGGACCAGCTACTTCCAGAGAGAAGCCTCTCCGGATTGTGTCTTTGGGGGGCTGCTCCCAGCTCTGCCTACCACCCCCCGGCCAGTCCTAGGGTCTGTGTCCTGAGGTCGGGCCTGTCCCAGTCCCTGGATGTCAGCCACAGCTTCCATCACGAAAGGGAAGGGGGTAGGGGGTGGGGGCAGAAAGGGAAGGGTGGAGGGTGGGAAGCCCCTGGTGGTTGAATTCGGGGGTCTTGGCAAGCAGAGCTCCTGCTCCCAGCAGTGGGGAAGGTCGGAGCAGCCACTCACCGGGGGGCCCCGGAGGCCAAGTCCACCTGGGAGCCCGCTGATCCCTGCCTCTCCCTGGAGGTAAAGAAGTGAGGGGTGGGAGTCTGCACCCAAGGGCTTTGGGGAGCTGGGGAGTCACAGCCCACTCCCAGACCCCCATGCAGGGCCGGTCTGCCCTCTCGGAAGGGACTGAGACTCCAGGGGCGCATGTCTCTGTCCCCCACAGAAGCCCCCCCCCAGCCCTGGTTGGGGACCTGACAGCCAGGTTGGCTGTGGGTGTGGTGGGCGTGCCTGGCTCGGGGCCACGAGGGTTGTACTCACAGGAGGTCCGGGGAGGCCTTTGCCCTGCAAAGCCAAGCATGGGGTCAGAGCTTGCCCACCACCCCACTCTTGCCCTGAGCCGGCCGGGTGGGTGTGGGGAAGAGCAGCTCAGGGGGTCTGGGTGCAGGAGAGCCTCCCACACCCCCTGGGAGAGAGAACCCAGCCTGAGGGTCAGCAGAGGAGAGGGCCTGGGACCTCACCCTGGTCGGACCCTGCAGCCCCTCAGACCCCCACCAGGAGATGAGATGTACTCACCCCAAGTCCCGGCGGCCCCGGGGGTCCCAGGCTTCCCTGAGAAGGAAACGATGTCAGGGATGGGATGGGCCCAGTCACCCCTCCTCTGCAAACCTGTTTCTCTCCCTCCCAGATCCATCCTACAGCTCCTCAGAGGAGGGGCCTCATTTTACAGAGACAGGGCCCTGGGAGGGGCACCCTCTGCTGCCCCAGTGGCCTGGGACTGGTCCCAGCCCCTGGTGGTTGGATTCGGAGGTCACGGGACCCTCCACCTTGGCCTGCGGAGGAGCCCGAACCTCGGGCAGCCGGGGTGCCCGCCTGGCCCGCCAGTCCTGTCACCCAGCCCCCCGAAGACACGGTCCTTGTACTGAGGCCACTCCCCTCCGGTCCTGCCCACTCAAGGCTCCCTGCAAAGACCCTGGAGTTCACCTACCCCCGTCCACCCGGCACCAAAGGACCCACTGGCCACAGCTGCCACTCTTGCCCTTGTCCCCACTCCTCCAGCCGAGTTCCCTCCGTCTCTCCCTGTGCCCCCTGCCCTCTGCACCCCAGTGCTGGGGGGACGGTCACTGCTCAGAGAGGGAGGGGACAGCGTGCGGAGCTGGAGAAAGCCTTCCTGCAGAGGCTGGTCGGTCAGGAAGTGGGCTTCAGGAATGATGGTCAGACTTAGGGCACAGCCTGGGTGACCCCGGGCCTCTTGAGTGTTCACCCGGGGAGCAGAAGGGCATGTGGGGTCCATCACCCCCAACTGTATCAGCCTCCCCAACACAGTCTGAATGCCAGGACAACTCTGCCCAGAGGTGGGTGTGGAATGGGGGGCCGTGCACTTGCCACCCTGTGTCCCCTGCTATCCCGCGGTCCTGCAGGGCCCCGGCCCCGAGCTCGCCCCTGGGCTGCCTGCAGCCGCCCCCCCCGTGTTGCTGGCACTCACCCGCTCTCCAGGGGCGCCCTTGGATCCAGGTGGTCCTTCCCTACCAGTCAGACCCTGGGGGGAGGCAGGGCTTGAGGGGTCACATGGAAGGAGGTGACCCCTCCCCTGTGCAGGGGAGAACCACCCATGGGCCCTTCCCTAACTAAACCGAGTCCAGAGCGGCCGAGAAGACCCCCGGGCCTGGCACCGTGCTGTGCTGGCCATCCACTGTCCACGGGGGCCCAGAACCTCTGGGGGACACGGAGGCAGCCAGTGGGAGCCCAGCGCCTGGAGCCGTTGCTGGAGTTGGCGAGCCCAGCAGTCCCATCCAGACCTCAGCCCCGTGGTCTTGGGGCCAGGCCTTGAGCCCCTGATGACCAACGGGCTGGGGCTCAAAGGGGCCTGGATAATGGGTGTTTGTTCCCAGATAAGCAGGAGCTGGTGGGACTTTCACCTCTACTGTGGGCGGGCTCTGTCCTCTGCTGGCCAAGGCCAGACTAAGCTCTGGGATAAAGGCCAGAGCAGGCCCAGCTAGACAGCAGCAATTAACCTTGACTCCTGGGCCTGGGGAGGAACTTGTCCAAGCCCAGAGGGGAGTGGGGGCTCAAGGGAGGGGAGAGGGGGCCTCGAGGGCAGGGAGGGCGCAGAGAAAGCGCAGGCACACTCACATCCACGCCAGGCAGCCCCGGCAGCCCGGCCTCTCCTGGTTTCCCTGGCCTCCCGGCAGCCCCCTTCGGTCCCTGTGGGGGAAGGACAGAGGTGTGAGGAAGGTCCAACGGGGAGCCTTGGCCTCACCAAGAAATTGTTTTCCAGTCCGGGCACCACCCACAAAAGAGGGGCCTCTCTCCAGGAGGCCCGGCCCTGCCCGTGTGCTGCAGACCCGACCCAGCGGGGTCACCTGCCAACCTTTCCCCGGCCCCAGGAGGGCAGCCCTCTCTACGGCCCCCTACTTGCTCACATCTGCAGGACATGCACCTGGACACGTCAGCCTCTCCGGCCAAGGGCTGACTGTGGGGCCTCAATCCCTGGGCCCACACGCCTCTGTGAGGACTCACTTGGGGACCTCTGGCCAGCTACCCCTCGAGGCTGCATTCCTCGCCTGTCCAGGCACTGGCCCAAAGAAAGCTTCAAAGCCCGCACCTCCCAGAGCCTCGCAGACTCCGACACACACCCTCCCTCCCACCCCTTCCTGGCTCAGCCCTGCTCCCTAACCCAGGGCCCAGTGTGGTGGGAAGGGGTGTCAATGACCCCTCTGTTTTAGCCAGGACACTCACCGGGGGCCCAGGCAGACCCGGAGGACCAGCTTCTCCCTGCAGAGGGGGAGACACCCTGATGTGACCAAGGGTTTCCTGAAGACCCCGCCCCAGGGAGCAGAGCTGGGCCCCAGGGCCCTGCCCCAGAAGACAAGTCGGGAGCCCCTCACCCCCTCGTCCACACCTAGGGCACCTCCCCGCTAGGGCCAGGTGCTGAGGCAGGCACTGGGGAGAGGGGCTAGGACAGGCTGGGCTCAGCCCTGACGTGGCCTACACTGCTTTTGGGGATCACTTTGAGGGCTCAGGGTCATGACCCCCAGAACCAAGGGGAAGGCTCCAAGAAGCCCTAGCTCCTCCACTGCCAGAGAAGCTTCAGGAAGCGCTGTGGGCGCTGAGAGGCCTGCTGCCCGCACCTGTCCAGAGGGGCAGCCCCAGACCCGTGAGGCCCCAGAAGGCAGCCCGGGCCTCCCTGCCATGACCTCCAGGCCTGCGACCCTTTGACAGAGGCTCCAGGCAGGCTTGAGCGGACGCATCCTCAGGAGGAAGGATCAGCTTGGCCCGGGAGCCCTGGGGGGCCAAGGGCCCGGCCAGGCGGGAGAGGCATGGGGTCCAGGTTGAGGGGGAGGCTCAGGGCCACCGACGGCCAGGCAGGGCCTTGGGGACTCAGAGGGGATAATATGGGTGAGGAGATGCCTTGGAGGCCCTACCTTTCATGGAGGTGGCTGGATGGAGGGGCTTTCACCCCAGACGGCCCCTGGGCGCAGGCTGCGGGATTTCAGCCGCCCCCCCATATTGCTGGCCTGGGGCACCTACCAGGGGTGCAGTGCAGGCCAAGTCCCTCCAAGGCTGGCTTCAGCCCCCAGCAGCCCCAACAAGACCCACAAAGAGGGTCAGGCCCTGCACTTCCACACCCAACCCCCAGAATACAGGAGCACAGACCCCCGGGCACACACTTCAGTGCCCACATTTCCAGTCAAAGATCACCATGCAGCCCCCCCGCCCCCCCACGCCGCCCCATGCAGGCCCCGTGTGGTGTGTCCCAAGTAGGAACAAGGATCGTCTTTGTTTCACATCCCATATGGGTGCTGGCTCATCACCCCGACATCACCCGACCTGCGAAGTAGGACGTAGTTTTCTCTCCATCAGGCCGAGGGGTTTGTAAAGGTTGGAGCCAGAGCTGGAGCCCCACAGAACCCTCCTGGGCCTTCCCACGCCCCAAACTCACATCAACGCCATCTTTGCCCGGCTTTCCAGGTGGCCCTTGGGGACCAGGAGGACCTCGAGGTCCCACTTTCTGAAATGGAACAATGTCATTAGGCACCTGGGACTTTTCACCCCTCCCCCTCGAGGTGGGTCCCCTGGTTGGCTCTTGGGTCAAGTCCGATGGAGTGTCCCTTCTTCCCAGGGTCGAGCAGCACTGGGGCCTGGCACAGGGGCCCATGACCCTGTCTGGCTTCAGCGATGCCCCCCGCCCCCTGCCACTGTCTACTGCCTCATCTGTGCAGCCAGGAAGGGCTGTGCCCACCGCAGGGAGCCTGGGAACAAAGGCCACATTGTGGTCTCTGGCGGTGGCGGCACCCTGGCCTGGGAGGACCAGGCAGCCTCCTGGGCTCACGCGGAGGAGGCCTGGTGTCTGTGGGCTCAGCCTGGTGGTCGCGATAGGCCTGTGCCAGTCTCCCCGTCCCAGGCTCACTCGCTGGCTGGCCCAGGCGGCTGGGGTGGGGGCGGCCCCCAGGCTGCACGGCTGGATGTCTGACATCAGAGCCCTGGACCCCCACCCCAGTCCGCGGGGGCGAGCCCAGCTCTCCTGCGCCCCGTGCTCACCTGCGGCTCGGTCCTGGCCAGGAGCTGCCCGAGCAGGAGCAGGGCCAGCGTGGGGGCTCTGGCCATGGCTGCGTGCACTCTGAGTGGCGCTGGAGGCGCGGCCAGGCTGGGGCTCGGGGCTCTGGGCGCGGGGTTTGGAGGGCGGGGCCGGCGGCGGGCAGGTCTCCAGTTCCCGCCCCTCTGGCTGCACACAAACCCCCCATTCAGCGGGGCCCACCAAGCTGGGCAGGGGCTGCCGCCGCCACCGGGCCTCCCGGTCCAGGCTGTGGGAGGAAGGCAGGGGCCGGGGTGGGGGGAAGCAGCCAGTGGCATTTTTTGGGTCAGCCTCTGAGTTAAAATTACCCCGGCTGCTGAGTGAGACACACACACCTTTTAGCAAAAGAGAAAGACGCTCTTTTCTCCCTGCTCCTCCCCGGGGTGTGGGAGCCCACACGGAAGGGCTCCTGTGGGGAAGGCGCACCTTTAGTCTGAGAAATGGGGTCCGGAAGCTGCCTGCCCTTCCCCAGGCCCTGAGTGGGCCCCAGGCTGCCCTAGGCCCAGGAAGGCGCCCCGGAGAAGGTGAGTGCCCGTGTCAGGGTTCAGACCAGCTCCCACAGCCCCGATTCTTGACATGGGCCCCGCCATGGGCAAAAGTCTAGGGCAGTGATGGCGAACCTATGACACGCGTGTCAGAGGTGACACGCGAACTCATTTTTTTGGTTGATTTTTCTTTGTTAAACGGCATTTAAATATATAAAATAAATATCAAAAATATGTCTTTGTTTTACTCTGGTTGCAAATATCAAAACATTTCTATATGTGACACGGCACCAGAGTTAAATTAGGGTTTTTCAAAATGCTGACACGCCGGGCTCAAAAGGTTCGCCATCACTGGGCTAGGGCCACGCCTGCCAGGTTGGGGATACCTCCTACTTCAGGGCCTTACCCCAAACTTTATACTGAGTGGTCCATCCACATGAGCCATGGCTGGCAAAGGCCTGGCTGTCCCCTGGCACCCCTCACCCCACGGGACAGCAAAGTGGTGGCTCTGGCCGAATGGAAGGAGGACCACCAGGGTCCTGAGGCCGGGCAAGTGGTGATGAATAGGGACTCTAAGGCTGCGTCAGGTGCTCCGTTTCCCACAAGCCCCTGGCAGCTCAGGGCTCCCTGGATTTGGGCAAACTGATCACTCACTCTGGGAGGGGAAGGGGCAGCACCTAGGGCCAGGTGGCCTCCATGGCCACCCTAGGGGCCTCTCCAACATCCAGGTCACCTACAGGCCCACCCCAAGATATCTGCATATTTAGGGGTCATGGCACATCGTGTCAGCTTCATTTCCACATGTGGGAACGCAGGACTTATATATATATATATATATTTTAAATATATTTTATTGATTTTTCACAGAGAGGAAGGGAGAGAGATAGAGAGTTAGAAACATCGATGAGAGAGAAACATCAATCAGCTGCCTCCTGCACACCGCCTACTGGGGATGTGCCCGCAACCAAGGTACATGCCCTTGAACAGAATCGAACCTGGGACCTTTCAGTCCGCAGGCTGACGCTCTATCCACAGAGCCAAACCGGTTAGGGCAGGACTTATATTTTTTAAAATGTGTTTTTATTGATTTCAGAGAGGAAGGGAGAGGGAGCGAGAGATAGAAACATCAATGAGAGAGAGAATCATTGATCGGCTGCATCCTGCATGCCCACACTAGGGATCGATCCGAAACCTGGGCTTGTGCCCTGACTGGGAATTGAACTATGACCTCCTGGTTCATAGGTCGAAGCTCAACAACTGAGCCACACCAGCCAGGTGGGAACTCAGGACTTTTGAGACGATGTGAATTCAAATGAGAGGCGACGGATGAACCAGGAAAGGGAGCCTCAGGGAAGCACCTGGCTTCACTGTTGGTCAGACTGCAGCTGCCCATTCAGGCTGGGCCGCACCCTCACCTGGGAGGACAGGTGTGAGTTACGTCAGGAAGAACCGGAGAGGCTGGGCTCCTGCCTCCAGCAGAGCTGGAGCCATCCTGGGCCTCACAGACAGCAGCGGGCTGGGGAAGCCCTCCACCGCCACCCCAAGCCCAGGGTCTGGGGAGCAAGATTGGTTCCCCCCAGCTCCCGCCTCAGTCCCTCCCAGCTGCCCCCCAGCTCCCGCCTCAGTCCCTCCCAGCTGCCCCCCAGCTCCCGCCTCAGTCCCTCCCAGTTGTCCCCCAATTCCCAAGGAAGCCCAGCTGGCCTCCAGCTCCTTCAGGAGCCACCTGGCATCTGGCATCCTGCTCCACTGCCCGCAACAAGCCCAGCCCCTGCTCCTAGCAGACCCTTCCATCCTGCCGCTGGGAAACGCCTCTGCTCCCCAGAGCTGCCCCTGCCGCCAAGCCCTAAGAGCTGCAGTGGCCTGGGACTGGGGGATAGGGGCCAGAGCTTGGGGGTCAGTGTACTGGAGCTGCCTGGCTGTCCCCAGTTCCCCACTGTGGGCACAGACCCCACCGCCAGGGTGACTCGAGTAGAGTTTCCTTCTGGCATCAAGCTTCTCCAACTGAACTTGAACCCCACAGGCTCTCACCTGGGACCCCGACCACTGGGGTCCCTGACTCAGTGTTTGACGTCCCACAACACATCAGCGCTCAGTCCCTCTGTGGTGCAAACAGGGGCTAAGGACATGCCCCTCCCCCATGAGGGCGCTGGGGAGTTAAGGCAGGGTCTCCCTCCAAAACGACTTCCAATTTGTCTGTCACATCGAGTCCCCTCTCCCCTGCCCTTCCCGGGACTAGAGCTAGTGGCCAATGCTCTTCATGGGAAGCAGACGGGTCACACTCAGCAGCTCCCTCCTCCTCAGGAGAGCAGTGAGCTCATCACTTCTTCTGTGCAAAGGCCCTCTGCCCAGGCCCCTGGCCCAGGGGGATGGAGCCAGGCTGGGCGCCCACCCTGTCCTGGGGGCAGGGCTGAGACCGGAGGGATGCACTGTGCCCAGGCCGGGTGGGAGGAGCCCCGGGGGTCCTGGGAGGCGGTGCCTTGGGGTGGAGGGTCAGCAAGGGGCCGTGGCTGGCAGGGCAGGGACAAAGCACAGAGAACACTGCTGAGTGAGTTTACTTCCAAAGCACATCACTGCACCAGAATCAGGGCAGGCGAAGGTGTGGTCTAGACCTGGGCATCTGAACGCTGCCCACCGCGGGCGGAGCTGCCTCGGTGCCCGTGACAAAATGCAGCCAAGGCCCACTACCCAGCCCGTGCGCTGTGATCAGGGTGCACCGGGCGGGGCGGGGGGGCCTGAGGGCTGCTCCACTAGGCCAGAGTCCGGAGAGCAGCATCTCCCGAAACCAGCCCGTCCACCCTGGCGCCCACAGGACCGCGATCCACACCGAAACACTAAGTCAAATGAGTTTATTCAGAAAAGGCCTCGGCACCAGACTAAGAAATGAGCCCACTCCGACCCCGGCCGCTCCGGGGCAGCGCAGAGAGGGGCGGCGAGGAGGTCGCGGTCAGGACTCTGGAGTCCGTGGCCGTCCGGGTCTGTCTTCCGACGGCGGCAGCGACCCCGGCGCGAGGCCAGCACTGCGGGCGCGGGGCGCGGCCGGCAAGGAGACCCCCCCCTGCCCCCCCCCCCCCCCCCCCCGGTACAGGCCCAGCGGAGGGCGGGTGTCCCCCAGCCTAAGGCGTGGGGGGCCTGGCAGTCAGCCCCGCCTCCGCCCTCTCCTCCGACGCAGGTTCGGCCGCGGCCGGGCTCCCGGGGGCCCCCTGCTCCGGCTCCCCCTGGCCTTCTGCCTCGTCCTCCTCCACCTCCTCGCCCTCCCCGGCCTCAGGACGCCCCGAGGGGGCCGGCGCCTGGTCCACCTTCCTTCGCTTCCTCACCTCGTCGGCCGCCTTGGCCCCTGGGGGCGGGGGACAGGGCTGCTCAGTCTCCCCGGGCCCCTGGCTGCCCATTTCCTGGGCCCCGGCCCCGAGGCTGCCCATTTCCTGGGCCCCGGCCCCGAGGCTGCCCTGGCTGAGGGCGCAGCCCTCCAGGTTCCGGGCGATCTTCTCCACCTCCGAGGCGCTCTGGGGGCCCGGCTCCCCCGGGGCCTGCTCCCGCCGGTTCGGCTCCAACTTCCTCTTCTTGCTCTCGGTGGGGCTCGCGGGCTCCGGCCCCTGCGACCCCGGGTCCCCCTCCCGGGCTCCCTCCTCCTGCGGGGGCCCGGCGGCCACGCCATCCCCGCCCGCACCGCAGGTCCGCCCCGGGGCGCCCGCCTCCAGGAAGGGGTCCGCGGGGCTCGCCTCCCCCGCGGCCGGCTCGGGGCCCGGCAGGGCGCGCGGCCGGGGCCTCCGCAGCTTGTGGTGCGGCGCCCAGACGAAGCGGCGGCGCGGCCGGAAGTGCGCCCAGGCGAAGCGCAGCAGCGCGCGGCGCTGGCGCGGGCAGCGCACGGTGAACACGAAGTAGTCCAGGGCGCTCTGCCGCACGCCCTGCAGCTCGCGGCGCACCAGCGTCTCCTCCAGGAAGAAGCGCACCAGCGGCGCCTGGTAGCGCTCCAGGCCCAGCTCGCCCAGCGACTTGAGGATGCGCGTGATGCGGAGGTTGTTGTGGCTGTGCCTGGAGGGGGGGGGGCAGAGGGCGCGGGTGGTCCTCAGCCGGGGCCCGCCCTCCTCCTCCCCCGGCTGCACCCCACCTCTCGGAGCCAGCGGTTGGCTGGGTTTGGGATGCGCCCTCTCCTCTTGCCGGTGCCGGTCCCCTGGAGCACCCCTCCCCCCGCACGGCTAGAGGAGGGTTGGAGGGGCTCCCGTAGTGTGCCCACGGGCAGATGCCTCCCCTGCACTTCCTCCCCCCTCCCCCCACCGACCTGGCTTCCCAACAGGCACAAGGGGGTGCTGTGAAGCTGACGCAGCCCAGTGGGTCCTCGGACCCACGCCACGGGTAGTAGGGCAGTGACCAGCGGGACTCCCTTTAGGCCCTCACACCCTATCAGGCAGGGACCCCCCACCCTGCAAGCAAGGAGCAGGGTGCTCAGCCGCATCGCTTGTCCCTGCTCCCACAAGGGCTCCAGGGCACTTGCCAGAAGCCTAGCACAGTCCCCTCCTCAGCCCGAAACCTGGCTGTGCCAGCGACCCCGCTGGGGTCCTCACCAGTTGAGGTTCTGGAAGCGCTTCTGGTAGCTCTGCGCTCGCCGCACCTTGCCTGTGTCCCGGTCCTCCAGCTCGATTCCGTAGAACCCCAGCATGAGCTCGTAGGCCCGGACAAGCCGCTGCCCGGCTTCCTGGGAGCTTTTAAAGGCCTGGAAAGCAGCCCCAGGAGAGCGAGCGCTTTGGAGCTGCCCCACAGACACCCAGCTGGCGATGCCCCCTCAGGTCTGATTCACTAGAGGCCGGGACTGGACTCAGACTCAGGCTGAAGAAGCCCTAAAACTCCTTCATGTGACCGTCTCTTTACTCTGAGCGGCTACAAGGCCACCAGGGCCTGAAGTGTCCACTTTAGTCCTGAGAGGAATTCTCAAGCCGCTGGGAAGAGCTCAGGACTCGCCAGGGCGGCATCGTGCACTCGCCATCGCCTAGGAGCATGCTGTGCCTCCTGACATGCTCAGTGGCTCCCCCATCCATCCCTCTAGGGGTCCTGCTCCTGCCCCAACAAGGGGCGACAGAGGCTAGCGCCTGCCCCAGACGCCCCAAGGTAGGGTGATTTCTCTGGAAGTCTGTGAGGAGTGCCTGGGGAGAGGTGAGGAACACTTTAGAGGGAAGATAATTAGGGGGACTTCCAGCTCCTGCCCTACGAGTGGCTCCCCAGGGGTACACAGAGGCCCGGCTCACCTCGATCTCCTGCTGTGTGAGGGGCTTGGCATGCCAGTTCACCCCTGGCTCCCGCAGAGGAAACAGCCTGTGGGAGAAGAGATAGCACAGGCCCGTCCCTGGCAGCCGCGGGCTCCGGCAGGCACATGCTGCTGGGCAGCCTGGTGTGGCTCACCACTCAACCCTGGGAGGGGCTCGCTAGACACACATGTCACAGGCTCTCACAATAAAGTCAAGGGGTGAGGGCAGGAGAGCTCCAGGGCGGGCATCACAGACCAGGGCACAGGACAGGCACGTGTGGCCTACAGCAAGGGCAACCAGCTAGCTGTTTCGCCCAGGCCGGCCAGCCGTTCCTTCTGTTCTTCGCTCTTCCCCTCTCATCACTGATGCTGAGAGTTCCCTGTGCCCAGGAGAGGCCCCCTGGGAGCCGTCCTCAAAGACACAGTGTTTGCAGGGCGACCGCAGCCACGCAGGACAGGCCGCACTCGCTGCCGCGGCAGGCTGCTGTCTGCTGTCCTTCCTGCCCCACACGCAGCCTCAGCTCCCAGCCAGCACAGAGCTGCTCACAGTGAAGACCCTGAGCCGGCAGTGCCCGCAGCCAGCACCAAACCCGGCTTCAGAAAGGATGCAGTGTGCCTGCAGGCATGCATGGGACTCCAGGAAGAGGCTTGCCTAAGCCAGGCCTTCCAGCCCCTCCCCTGGAGACCCTCCCCAGAGGTCCAGCCCCATCTCAGCCCCCCAGCTCTGCCCCTCCTCCCCAGGAGTCCCAACCCCTCCCCAGATGCCGAGCCCACCTGTGCTCCGAGCCCCACGCCCGCCCTCTGCTCACCACTGGATGTAGGAATGGTTGTCCTCCAGGAGGTCGTAGTTGTCCCTCCATTCCTCAAGAATATACTCAATGCAATAGCCTAGAGCACCATGGGATGCGTCAGTGAGTCAGTGGGGAGCTATTCAAGCGCTACCCACCTTTTTTTTTAAATCCTCACCCAAGCATTTTTCCCCCACTGATTTTTAGACAGTGGAAGGGAGGGGGAGAGACAGAGAGAAACATTGATGTGAGAGAGAGACATCAACTGGTTGCTTCTGGCACGCACCCTGATTGGCCTGGAGATCGAGCCTGCAGTGGAGGTAGGTGCCCCTGACCAGACTCAAACCCGTGACCCTTCTGTCCGCAGGCCGATGTTCTACCCACTGAGCAACTGGCCAGGGCTACCACCTTTCTTGGGGCTCTGCAGCTCTGAGTTGTACATCTCATGTGATTTTAATCCCCCAAATTAGGCCCTCGGCCTCTTTGCAACCTGAGAGCAGATGCCAGAGAGACGATTATGCCCGAGGGAGGGACAGGTGCTCCCCGACCTGCACCTGTCTTTGCTGGAGGGTCCTCACTGCCCCTCACACCAGGGCTTGTCATCAGAACTCTGCCCTCACACAGAACCTGCAGCTGAGCCCCACCCCGTAGCTGGTCTTCCACTGGCCACTGTGTCTGCGAAGGGTCCAGCTGAGCATTTACGGTGTGCGGCCACATGGCCTCTGAGCACGCTGCATCCCCGGGAAACAGCCAGACCACGGGTTCCAGTAACACTTTCCTCATGGTCCAGACGGCCTGGCTCTGCATGGTGCGTGCCTGGCTGAGCATCGAGCTAGGAACCAGGAGGTCACAGTTCGATTCTCAGTTGGGGCACATGCCAGTCTGGGGGGTGCAGGAGGCAGCTGATCAATGATTCTCTCTCATCACTGATGTTTCTATCTCTTTCTCCCTCTTCCTTCCTCTCTGAAATCAATAAGGAACATGTATATGTATATGTATATATGTATATAAACTTCACTCATGGACACTGAAATTTGAATTTCATATAATTTTCAAGTCACAAAATGTTATTCTACCTTAAAATTTTTCCAACCATTTGAAAATGTGAAAACCACACTTGCTCACTCGTTGGTGTATGTGGCTCTCCCACTCGGCAGAAGAGCCAAGTAGTTGTGACAGAGACCTCGGGGCTGCAACGCCACCCGCATGTACCGCTTGATCCATCACAGCAAGTTTGCCTGTGGGGGGCGCTGTGGGGCTACCTGAAAGCTATAGGCCCCAGTGCCCCAGTCCCAGCCCAGGTCCCAGCAGCCCAGGTCCCAGAAGACCCAGAGGCAGAGAGAGGGGAGAGGGGACCCGCAGCAGGAGGGAGCTGTAGGCGGCCAGGCACGCACCATTGGGCCGGAACGGGATCTCGTTTTTGTAGAAACTCAGGTTTGGCATGTCACCATTGCTGTCCCCTTCCATCAAATCCTAAAGAGCCAGAGAGAGTGCCGGGGACAGAATCAGAAACAGGCTGGCCTCCCTGGGCCCTCAGGCTAAAGCTTTCCTGGGGAAGGGGCATCTGCTCTCCACTGGAAAACACCAGACATCCTGAAGGCTGGTGAGGACCCCATGTGGCAACCTGGGCTCCTCACCCACCTCTGACCTCCTCCTCCTCCCCAAAGTGGACCAGTGCTGGGAGGTCCCCTTCATCTGCACCCGGAGGCGGCCCAAGGGCTTCCTGAGACTCATGGGTGCAGAGGGCAGGGGCTGAGGACACAGGAGACCACTGCAGGGGCCTCATGTGGCTGTGCCGAGAGCCGGCACCACGATGCCTAGTAAAGGCAAGGCCGCTGAGGCTCCAGAGGCAGGGGCCAAGGAACACGCTGTGCCACTGGCCTTGTCCAGGTGGAAGGCGGGAGGGTTTTGCCCCAGGTGGGCTGCGAGGGTTCGAGGGTGCTTCAGGCAGCTACGTACCGGGTAGTGGTGCCGGTACCTGCGTGTGTCCTGCATGGCTCTCCAGTTTAGGGACCCCGTCATCCTAGACTGGGAAGAGAAGAGAGACGATGAGACCCCATGGGAGATGCCCCCCTCCATAGAGGCCTGCCAGCAAGCAGACACCCCCCCCCCCCCACCTCGAGTGCCATCCTGGTGAGGGCAGCAAGGACTTGGGCCAGATGTCAACAAAACCAGAGGAGCCCAGAGTGGCTGGAGTGAGGCCTGCCCCCTGCTCAGCCCTCAGGACCCCCAGGCCCATGGGAACATTCTTGGGAGGCAGCCTTCCAAGCTCCAGCTTCACTTACTGGCTACCCCCTCAGCTGCAGTTGTATCTCCCGAGGAAAGCCCGCCTTCCGCAGCGCTTCCTCCTTGTACTGAGCTGTAAACTGCCACCAGGCCTGTGTCCCAAGGACAGCGCCTTGCCACTTATAGCTCTAGAAGGGGCGCACACCTAGTCACAGGGTCTGATGAAGGACCCAACGACCAAAGCCCAGGGCGCCAGGCCCACCCGCCCAATCCCACGGCTCAGTGACCAGACCCTGGATCTCCTGGCCACCAGCCCCTTCTCTGCAGCAAGTCAGAGGCTCCTCGCTTCCTTCCCAAACCAGCAGCCCTGTCTCTACAGGCCAAGCTCCTGGGTCCCGGGAAGGATGAGAGGTAACTGGCGAGCAGGAAGCTAAGTAAATGCAGCCTCCCCCCCACCTGTTACAGGGTGGGGGGCACAGGCAGGGCGGAGCCCAGCTGTCTGACTGAGGCTGGGGGAGGGGGCGCAGGAGGGGCAGCGACAGCTCATCCTGGGCAGACAGCTGGGTCCCAGCGCCTGGGACGAGCCAAGAAGTGGTGGAAGGGTCAGGAGGCCAGGCCCACCACTGCGCCTCCAGGCCCCAGCCCTCCCCAATCCCCAACACCCCTCAGTGGTCTGACCTCCAGCCAGGCCCACCACTGCGCCTCCAGGCTCCAGCCCTCCCCAATCTCCAACACCCCTCAGTGGTCTGACCTCCAGCCAGGCCCACCACTGCGCCTCCAGGCCCCAGCCCTCCCCAATCCCCAACACCCCTCAGTGGTCTGAACTCCAGCCAGGTCCAGGGCCGCCCCTGCCAGCTGCTTAGGTTCTCTCCTACCGGCCAAGGGCAGGGAACAAAACCGGAACTCAGCGGGTGCACGTCCCACTTCTCCACCAGTTTCTGTTTCTCCTGCCCCTGGGCCAGCGGGCACCATGTGGGCAGCACTGCAGGTGGAGTCCTCTGGGGAGCGGTCAGAGCAGGCCTCCAGCAGCGTGGCCTGTGGAACTGGCGGACAGCGTCCTCCACCTAACCCTCGCCACACCTGCTGGGGGACAGAACCGATTCCTGCCCCGTGGCTCCAGGCCCACGACCCTGACCACTGCCCAGCCTGCCTCCTCAGGGAACTTGTCCCTGCCCCGACACTGGGTGCGCTGAGGCCACTGCCTTTCAGGCAGGCCCAGGAGCCTCTCGGGGTCCCTCTCTTTGATCCCTGTAAGACATTGATAAACCTGAAAACCAGTGTTCTCCTCTGGTCCCGGGAGAATCCATCCCAGAGACCACCTGGATGGCTTCAAGATTCTCTAGACACAGGCAAGACGCCTTAATCCAAAAGCAAATGGGACCCAGGGTGCTGGCTACCATTCCAGGTGCCATCCCTCCCTAACTCCTGGGGCCCAGCTAGAGCAGTGGCACCCACACCCCAGTGCATGCTAGCAAATAGCCCCTGCTAACAAGTAACCAGTGGCAAGACAAGTACTTGGTGGCAACAAAAGTAACAGTGCAACAAGTAACCGGTGGTAACCAGAAGTAACCACTGGGCACAGCCAGGGACCCTGGCTCCCAAGCCACATGAATGCAGCCCCCTGAGGCACCTCCAGGAGGGGGGAAGGCCAGCCCCAGCCCAAGAGGAGCAGCAGGGGTGGGTCAGGCGTGGAGGGGAGGGGAAGGGTGGGGAACAGGCCCCGCCCGGTGCTCCCTGAGGGGCACCAGGAGGCCCAGAGGCAGGTGGGCAGTGGAGGTGGCCAGCACCTAGCGCTGGGATCCAGAAGATAGAGCCCCAGGCCTGGAGGTGGATGTGAGAGAGAGGAGGTCGAGGATGTGCCAGGGGCACCCTTTTGAGGAAATGCCACCCCCACACAGATTCAGTCCTGGGCACCTGCCTTAGGGTGGCCCCGGATCTCTCTGCAAAGCCTCCGGTCTGGGCCAGGGGGTGGGGGTGGCAAGCAGGGGCAGATCTCAGGGTGTCCATCAGATTATGAGGGGAGCAGGAGGACCAGGGTGGGGAACAGGGCATAGCTGGAGAGGGAGTCGGCCCCCAAGTCGGGTCTCCAGGAGATGCCTCCGTCCTCCCACCCCCCACCCCCGGCGGGGGGTGAGGGGGAGTGGACAGTTTTTCCCAGATCAGGGCCTGGCTCCCATTCTGGGGTGCGGGGGATCGCGGGTCCCCTGGGTGCGGGGATCGCGGGTCTCGGGGTGCGGGTCTCCCGGGGCGTGGGGGTGCGGGGGCTGCACCTGCAGCGCGCTGGGCCACACCTCCTCCTCCTCCTCCTCCTCCTCCTCCTCCTCCTCGTCCTCCGCGTCTCCCAGGGCGGCGGCCTCGCCATCGTTGTCGCCCCCGGCGCTCGGGCCCCCGCCGTCCTCCTCCTCCTCGTCCTCGTCCTCGTCCTCCCAGGTGGAGTCGCGGTCCGGATCGTCCATGTTCGGGTGGCGGCGGGACCGCGCTCCGCCGGAAGCGAAAGTGAAACCGGGAGGAAGCGCGGGGGCGGGGCGGGGCGGGGCGCCCAGGGTCGCGGGGCTGCCGACTCCGCCCGCCCAGGGTGCCCGCCCTGGAAGGATGTGCCCCGGGGCTGCCTGCGCCAGACGCCCCAACCCGAGACTTCCCCTTCCCGTGCCCAGAACGTCCCCCCTAGCGGTGTCCCCACCCCAAGATGCCAGTCTGGGGCTTCTCACAGGGGCTGCCCCTGAGGAACAGCCCCTGGAGGTTGTCCACAGAGGGTGCCTGTCCTAGGACCCCCCCAGATCCCCCCAGACCCCTCCAGGATTCCCCTAATGTTCTCCCCTCCGAGAACGCCCCCCGGAGACACGCCCCGAGATGTCCCTTCCTTCCAGCAAAGTGGGTGACGCACCCTCAAAATGAAACTTGGGAGTGGTCACCCCAGGTAAAACCGTCTTCTAGAACGACACCACTTTATTATCGCAAAAAACAGCTAAAACCCAGTCTGGCTCTTAGGCTCGGCCGTGAGGAGAGCGGTCTCTGGTGATGGGGCCACAGGGGACGGGGACGGGGGGGGGGGGGGGGGGGGGCACAGCCTAGCCCCGCAGGGGCTCGCGGATTCTCCCAGCCCCGCAAGAACCAGCGGAGAGGGTCGGCTGCCTGTGCCCGGGCATGGTGCCGTCCTCATGCCGCGCAGCTGGTGACCGCCAGGAGTGGGACAGAGACTTCCAACCGCCCAGGGGCTCAGCGGGAGGCCTGTCTTGGTGCTGGTGCCACGGCTCCCTGACACGTCGACCTCCATCAACTCTCCGGCACAGCCCACCTGGCTGGAACTGAGTCTGCTCCCCTTTCTAAAGGACAGTGGTGACACCCCCAAAGGATCGGGGCCCTAGGCATTTCTGCATGTCTGCCCCCAACGGCCAGGGCAGATTTCCTAGGGAGTGGGGCCAGCCCACAGGACTGGGGAGGGGCCTGACCTTGTCAGCCCATTTGCAGTTGGCCTTGGAGCCCCTGGCCGTGATCCCGGGGTAGAGGGGCTCCTCTGATGGAGGCTTTGGGTGCTGGGCTGTGGGTCATTCCAGGTTTGCTGCTCTGGGAGCCCTGCAGGAGGGGACCCCGCTTCACCACCGCAGCCTACCATTCAGCCTGCCCACTGCTGCTTCCTGCCAGGGCCAGGACTATAGACCTCTTTCCTGACTTAAGACACTGCCCAACTGCTGCTTTATGAATAATGGCCACGCCCAATCACCCCAGATTCTGCTGTGGGAACAGCTGGGGCTCTGGGGACGCCATGTGGGCTCAGCAATCCCGGCAGCTTGTTGCCCAGGTGAGGTGGCCAAGAGCATCACACCAGTGTCCCATCCACAGGCCTAACACATGCTGCCCCAGGTGCTTGGCCAGGCTCTTGTAAGTCTGGCTGAGGCGGGACCAAGTTAGACCTGCCCTAACGCTTTCCAAAAGTGAAAATAGTTGCGGCCATGTTATCTGGCCAAAGTCCGCCCATCCCTACTCAACTAGCCTTGCGGGTAGGCCCGCTGCTGCTCAGTAAGTGTTCAACACTGCTTGGGAGCCCACAGTCCTTCTGGATTCCCCGTGGGGGGTCGGCTAGAGCAGGGAGCCCTGAGACCACACCACCTGGTTCCCACCCGCCGGCCCTGCAGGCGTGTGTCCGGGCAGCATCGAGTTGCAGGACTGTGCTTCTTTTTGTTCCGTAGGCCTTCGTCTCTATGCCCCCCTCCCCACCTCCTGCAGCCCCATCCTGTTTTCTTGTTCAGATAATTTCCATGCTACATGGTGGATGTACCTAGACCCATGTCACAGATCAGACCCCTAGGCTGGGAGACATCACGTGCCACAGATGGCTGTGAGCCTGACCTGCACAAACCACAGGCAGCCAACTGGACTGGACTCACGTGCAGGGAAGCTGGGCTGGTGAGGGCTGAGCAGCCCTGGAGGCCTCAGGCAGCGGTGTCTGCCCAGGGCAGGGATGCTCGGCCAATGCTGAGGGCTGCAGCCCGCACGGCGCCAGGGCATGGGGAGTGGGGCTACTTGCCCACCCTTCTTAAAGCGCAGTAAAATGTTAATTGAAACAAGGCAGGTTTAATGACTAGGCTTTTCCAGCAAATTCTGAGGTCCCTGAAGACACTGTTCCAGATGGGAGTTTCCCAGGAAACCCAGTGAAGGGAGCCCCTCCCGTGCCGAGTGCCACCCAGGTTTTTCTGTGCATCACAACTCCGGACCTGGCAGAGTGGGTACTGAGGGGGTTGGACACTGGCAGTGAGGGAGGCCAAGGGGCAGGGGCCTATCTCCCTGCATGTGTGCTAGAACTCTCTAGAAGGCAGACCTCTGCTCTCTTCCCATGAAGAGTTGTTGCCTGCTCTGCTGCAAGGATAGCTGGGTGAGCGCAGCGTGTGCTGTGCAGACTTCATCACAGGGAAAAGGCAGTGGCAGGAGGGTGTGGCGAAGGGCAGCCTCCGACCACCTGGGTTCTGTCTAGATCCCTGCTCCAGGCGGCAGGTGCGGACACACCCATGGGCCCCCACGCCTTGGAGTGCAGGCTCTGCTGCGTGGATGCTGAGAGCAGCCGCTCAGAGTCAGCAGACTCTGGCACAAGACACTCGGCACCAAGCACTGTTGGCCTGCTGGGAGGCAGCGTGCCAGCCATGTCTTCAAGGGCCTGAAGAAATGGGTCTGGCACAGGCCAGCCTCCAAACTGATGCTGGGCGGCCTCTCAGCACAGGGTCCTGGACGGGCTGCAGCGAGTTCTGACTTCCTGCTCCCAGATGGTGGGAAGGCTGCTGGGTGGGCAGGAAACTGTCCTGTCGGTGCGCCGGCTGGCCTCTCCATCACTTGGTGGACTTCTGCTGTGCACAGCAGGCACAGCCCCGGGCACACGCAGACATCCAGCGGGAAGGAGGCGCAGCTGTGCCTCGTTTGCTCTCCATCTGAGGGCCTCGTCAGTCACGTCACACTCCACACCTGCCAAGAGCTGCACCTACCCTGGATCACGTGAGCCAAGCACATGGACAGACTTCCGACTGCAGCCAGTGACGGGTTTCGGTCTGAAAATCACACAAGCCCAGGTTGCTTTCTGTGCTTTAATGCTCCACAGGCCCCGGCCCGGCCACCGCTCCTGTCGGGCCTCCCTCCACCCACTCGTTTGGTCTGTTTGCAAGCTACTCGGTAACACAAAAGTAGCCACAAATCCTGTGTCTGGCACATAAAACGGAGCAAAAATTATCCCGTCGCTCATTGCCTTAAAACAAAACACCTTGGAAAAAATACAACATAGGTTTTTAACTTCTGCAGTATTTTGTCATATAAAACACTAGTAAAATAGGCTTCTTAGAAATTAAATAGTGAAATATCAACCACATTATACACATCGTTACAGTACAAGGGAATGAGGCCAAGTACCCCGCTGTGTCTCAGGGCTGAGGGAGGGGCCGCTGCATGCGGCGCGTGTGGCCTTTCTCCTGAGGTCGCAGTCACTTGAGCAAGAGCAGCGGACAGGTGGACAGGTGGCCCAGTGGGAAGACTGGTGCTCCTGGGCGGGCAGGGACAATGGCGTTATGCTCATTCCTCCAGGCTCTCTGTCATGTAGGCTGTAGCTCAGGCCGCTGGTGCAGAGAGCAGCGGGACTGACACAGAGCACACTTAACCTAAGCCGGCGATCCTTTTTCTAGGGGTGTGGGTGCCACAGATCCCCGGACCCCAGGGCAGGCAGCAGGGGCCGAGCACCTGAGCCCTGCCAGCCCTTCTCTGAGGAGCATCTAAGTCCGGCGCCGCTTGGCAGCACTGGGGCTGGAGGGGTTGCTGTTGGCGGTCAGGACCTTGTCGGTGACTCGGCTGCGCTTGCGCTTGTCCACCCCTTCCTTGGCCCCCAAGTCTGAGGAGTTCTTGTCTCTGTCTTTGCTGCACTTTTCGGTTGCTTTCCCCAAGCTTCCTGAAGATGAAAAAACTGGGAAATAAAATCATTTGGCTGAAATCAGAATATCCAGAATTTTATTTCATCTTCTTGTTCAGTTAGAAAATTCTGTATCTACACATATGACGCTCTGAACCCACAAGCTTCTCCTGAGCTGGGGGCGCCCGCCCGGCCCACAGAGCACCTGGTCCTCCTGAGGGCGTGCCCACCAGGGGCCTCGGGCACCACGCGCTCAGGCTGCAGGACCCGCCCGCCGCCACTCACGCCTGTGCTGCAGGTGGAGCCAGCTTTTGCTACTCAGTTTGTCCTGTACTGAGGCCTCCGGCACTGCGCACTGGGTCCACCTGACTGGGCCCGCCGGTGCCCGGGGCCGCCCTGCGGTTCATTCATGGCGTCGGCCACACGCACGATGTCCATGCCCGGCGAGGCTCCTGCCCGAGCAGATGGAAGCTGCCTTTCAACTGCTGGACCAGACAGAGTAGCTGTGGCTGCAACGGGCTAGGAATTCAGGCTGGGGACCTGCGCTGCGCCCTGTGGGAAGGCCTTGCCAGGGGTGGGTGCTGTGTCCCCCGGGACCCCGGTGGAGGGATGGGAGAAGCAACACACTTACCATCATCGGCTCCATTGTGGGGGTCCATGTCTTCCTTCATTTCCTCCTTCATTTCCTCTTCAATGGTCACTTTTCCTGTGGGGAGACAACTGCCTTCCCTGAACGCCCACACTCCTGGGTGACTACGCCTGGCCCAACCTGGGGTGGCTCAGGCTGGGGCTGCTCCCGACCACCCAGGTGGGCCGAGCATCACAGGCCAGAGACCCTCACTCCTCCCGGAGACTCATGCCCTTCACTCTGACACCACCACCCTTGCCCACCTCCCGCCTTGCCTAATTCCCAAACCTAACCTGTCCAAGTCTCACCTTCGCGGACTTCTTGAATGATTTCTTCCGGGAGGACGAAGTTCCTTTCTGGATTCGGGAATGGAAGAATCTCAGACTCGTGCTGATGGCAAATAGGAAGTTTAATTTTTTTAAGAAACAAAAAAGGTGTGATTTTAGCAAGTGATGAAAAATGTGTGAGAGCCACCTCAGGAGCACCCAGTGAGTGCACAATGTTGCCCTGAGGCTGCGGAGGTGGGCAGGCGACAGACCAGGGCGGGCACAGCTCCAGCGCCAGCCAGGACAGGGGTCTTAGTGGGAAGAATGCTGGTCAGTGTCACCTGACATGTGCTGGGCCACATCCCTGCTGGCACACACCTCAGGGCAGGGCAGCGGCAGCCCAGCAGCCTGGAGACAGGGCATGTGGGCTGGGAAAGCCACCCCACAGAAAGCAGGTAAGGTGCGCAGAGAACCAAGGCCCTGTGGCTTGTCAGGCTCCACCTGTCCTGCAGGTCACGTGTGCCAGAAGGGACAGACTGTGATACACGGAACACCAGACGAGGGAAGGTTGAGTTGGTGGGAGGGGGTTCGGGAAACGGGCTTCCACCCGCCACCCACATGGGAGCCATGTCAAGCCAGGCGGCCCGCTGTCAACGTGCTGATCAGCATCTCCGGCCGCGGTGATCCACCGGCTGCTGGCCCCCCTGCTCACTCTGTGGGTAGGGTCCAGGGACTTGTGCTAACAAGGGCCAGAGTGGTGCTGGGGTCTAGGCAGTGCCATCCCTGAGGTCTTGCCCAGGCCTGAGTGACAGGCCATGACAGGAAGAGGGAGAGGGCTGCTGGGTGTACCCTGCAGCCTCCCAGGGCCTGTCATGTGGGTCCCCCGCATGAGTGTCTGTGCCTCAGAGCTACCTGCCTGCCTCCCCAGGGACACCAGGGGCTCCCCAGGATAGGACTCTGCTGCTCTCATCTCCGTGTCCCACTTCTGGCCCCAGCAGCCTGAAGTCAGGGTGTGGGAAGTGCCTGGGGACCAGGTGACCCCACAGATGACACACGTGGGAGCTTTGCTGAGTGCAGGCCTGCCTCGGCCTTGCACCCAAGGCCACCCCCAAAGGACACCTCTAGTGCAGCAGCTGACCCTCACAGAGGCTGTGCATAAACAGCAGCCAGCCCCCCAGGACACAGCTGTGACCATGACAAGCAGAGGCAGAGGACTTGCTGGAGGTTGACAAGAAGCCAGGGACAGCACAGGATCTGGACAGAAGGCCGGGGGCTGGCAAGCCTCTCCTGACACAGCTTAGGCTCCTGCCTTGACCCAGGTGCCCCGACCCCAGGTGGGTGCCCTCATTTGATCTCCTGCTGCTCCTCTGGGGGGAACACCTGTCCCTTTGGCCCTCCTGGTTACCTAGGGAACCTGGCTGACACCCTGCCGGTCCGGTTCTCACAGAAGCCACCACATCACCTTAACCTGACCGGAATGTGGGCACCGTCCTGCCTCGAGCACTCCTGGGACCTCCCATAAGTCAGATGCCCGCGTGAGGGCCCCCTCCCTTGGGCCTGGGCTCGGCGTTACCTCCCTGGAGAGGCTTTCACTCATCACCCATCTACAGTCGGTTCTGCACGGTAACCAGCTGTCATCACTAGGTCTGTGCTTTCTTGAACCCCACTCGGAGCTACCTGGTTGAATGAATGGTCCCCACGAGGACGCAGGCGCTCTGAGGACAGACCGAGGTCTGGAGGGCTCGGCCTTGGGGGACGGGGAGGGCGGGGTCCAGCTCACCAGCGCCTGCATGTCATACATGGTGCTCAGGTGGTCCCAGATGACCTTGGACGGCACCTGCCTGCCGATGTTCTGGCTGAACTTGTCCCTGATACAGATCATGTGGAAGTGCCGGTTCACACCTGCGGGGAAGGCTCCGGTTGGAGGGCGAGAGATGGAGGGGCAGGCGTCCGTGGGGAAGGGGCAGAGGCGGGGCGCGGGCAGGGCAGGGTCGGTGGAGGGGGCCCCGCCCAGCGCGCGCCACCGGCCGTTGCCGGCGCGCCCCGCCCCCACGCAGGTCCGCGGCGCCCGCTCACCGACGGGCTTGTGGCCCAGCATGGCGTGGAAGAGGCACACCTCCACCTCGGGGCTCCACACCACCGTCTCCTCGGCGGGGCTGGTGGCCGCCTCCCCCGGCCCCTTGTCGCCCGCCGCGCCCCCGCCGCCCACCTCGGCCTCCCCCATGGCCCGGCTCAGCTACGAGCCCCCGGCGGGAGCGGCGGGGCCACGGCTCCGCGCAAGCGCACTCGCGGGGTGCGTGCTCTGCGGCTCAGCACGCAGGCGCAGGCTCAGCAGCGGGTGGGTCCCGGCGCGCCGGCGCCCCCTGGCGGCAGGCCGTGTAACGCAGCGCGGACCTCCGGAAATGGAGTGGATTTGGGGAAGGGGATGGTGGCGGTTGAGGCGATCGCTGCCCAATCTGGGTTACCCCGTCGAATGTAAATGGCGGAATTGCAAATTACACCCCAATAAAGCGATTCAGAAATAAGAACAGGCCACAGTCAGTTCCGCCAGCGTGGGCTTTAAGGGGCTCCTATTGCCTCTGCTGACCCCTGGTCGGAGCACTGCACAAAGCGGCTTCGGCGCAACGGGGAGGGATCTGGACCGTGACGCCCATACAGGTGGGCGTCTGGGGGGTTGACCCGGGCTGCGGCGGGGGCAGGGCCTGGGCGGGGCCCCGAAAGACCCCGGCGCGAGTTAACTGCGGTCCGCACCGGGGCGAGGCCGAGGCAGGGCCGGGTCGCGTCCAGGTGGAGGATTACCCGCTAGTCTGCGCCCGACCGCGGCCGGGGCGGGGCGGAGTCTTGCCCTGGGGCGTGGCCAAGGTGGGCTGCCGGCTGGGAGGCAGCAGCCCAGTGACGAATCAAAGCAGCACCCAATCAAGGCATCCCGGGCCTCCGCCCGCCCCGCCCACTCCTGCCAGGCCACGCCCCCGTGGTGCCCCAGCGCCCGCGGGTAGTGCGCTCTCGGGCTCCCGATGACTGTAGGCTCCAGGGTGGGGTTTCAGGGTGCCCTTTCTCTGCCGCCTGCAAGCTGTGTGAGTCGCGCCAGGCACAGAGCCTCTGGAGGCCTCAGTTTCCTCAAGGGCGCCTGCCCAGGGGTACGTGGGGGTTCCGTCCTGCCAGCCGTCTGCCTGCTCAGTGTCCCGGCTGCAGTTCGTGCTTCATAGTAACAGCTGGAGCCAGGCTGCTGAGCGCTGCCCCTTGGCCCGCATAGACTCTGGTCAGCTCACTCTCTGGGACAGGCACGTGGACTCAGAGCGGGGTCAGCTGGCTGGGGCCGAACCTCAGCTTCCCATGTGTGAAGGGGGCTGCCGGTGATGCAGTCCCCACAATTCCAGCGGGAGAGATGGCCCAGAGAGGATTCTGCAGCGGCCCAGGGCCTCCAGCTGTCAGGGGAGCCCCGAGGTCGCAGGGAGTTCTGGTCCCGCCTGGCCCAGAGTGGGATTTGACTCCGTGGTGGCCACAGGCAGAAGCAGGGCTGCCTAACAGGCTCCTCAACGCAGAAAGCGCCCAGTGGAGGGTGGCCTCCATTAGTAATCTCTCCACTGTGCCCTGGACACCTTGGGGTCCCTGCTCCTTGGCCACGATCCCTCTCTGCTCACTCCCACCCCATCTTTGCCTTTTTCTTTCTTTAAAAAAAATATATTTTTATTGATTTCAGAGAGGAAAGGAGAAGGAGAGAGATAGAAACATCAATGATGAGAGAGAATAATTGATCGGCTGCCTCCTGCATGCCCCACACTGGGGACAGAGCCGGCAACCCGGGCATGTGCCCTTGACCGGAATCAAACCCGGGACCCTTCAGTCCGCAGGCCGATGCTCTATCCACTGAGCCAAACCAGCCAGGGCCCATCTTTGCCTCCTCTCCCAGGTGCCTGGGACCCACAAACACCTCCAGCGGGGGTGGCAAGCTCTCTGCTCTAAGGCCAGCCGGTGCTTGCAGCCCACACATCTCACCTCTAGGGGGCGTCTCCCACTCACTGTTTGGACCCAAACCAGGGCTCCTTAGAAGCATGCAGGCAGGAACCAAATGAAGGCTGTTCCTTTGCAACCTGGCCCACCCAGAGGATGGCATCTTGAAAAGGAAGTCCAGTTCTCCAGAAGGGCATATGAGAAGGAATCGCTGTGGTGACCGGGGACTTTTGTCCCGCCTGGGGAGGGAAGCGCTGTGGTTGGCTCCACTGACCCTCACAGCACCCTGTCCTGGTCCTATTATCGTCCCCACCACAGCCCTGCAGCGCTGAGCTGGGCCAGGGAGGAGGGGAACCGCGGATGCCAGGCTCAGCTGCTGATCGCCCCCGACTGGTGTGGGGGGGTGGCTTCTTTTTGGGGTTGCCAGATTCAACATCAGTTAAATTCCAATTTCAGATAAACAAGGAATAATTTTACAGTATAAGTATGTCCCAAATATTGCATAGGTTAAGCTTATATTAAAAATTATTCACTATTTAAAATGCAGATTTAACTGGACATCTTATATTTTATCTGATGATCCTACTCCTAAATTTGCCTGAATTACTGTCTGGTTGGCAGCTTGATTTGTGCTGAGATGCAGGGCCCGCCTGGCCCATAGAGCCCCACCTGCCTCTTGCTGACAGTGTGAGTGAGGCACTTAGGGTTTGTAGAGGGAGTGAGCGGCTCTGCTGTGATGGCCAGGGGAGACCTCAGCCCCGGTCCTCCTGGGCTGATTTTGTGGGTGCAGAAGACCCCCCAGGGAAGGGTGTACAAGAACCAACTTCATCACCTTCTGCCTCACTGGACAGTCTGTGTGTTTCTGCCAGGAAAAGCCCTGTGGTGAGGTACGCTGTCCGCCTGTGCACCTGTGGGCGGTGGGATGGACCAAGAGGAGGAGGGTGGAAGTTCTGGTGGCCCGGCATCTCCAAGTGGGAGTGGCCACTCTCCAGCAGCCTGGCATCAGCGGGATGCAGTGCCTGTGTGTGCGTGTGCGTATGTGTGCGCGCGTCAGCCCATGTGCGTCCCCGCCCTGCTGAGTCAGCCTGGGGAGGGCGCTGTTGTGAGCAGTCCTCCAGGCGGTTTGAGGTGAGGGCCCCCGTGGGAGGTGCCGCCAGCTGCCTCCAGTGCTGCTCTCCAGGTGCCTTGCAGTGGGCAGGGGAGACGGGCAGAGCTGCTTTTCCCATCTCCCCATTCCCCAGTTCTGTTGTGGGATATGTGGCCTTCCACGCCCGTGGGCACAGCCCTCTGTCATTAGAGCCAGGCCCTGCGGGAGGACGTTTGTCTGGCTGGCAGTGGCGACTGTGAGAGCTGATGGCCTCACCGGGGACTGCAGGGACCAAGCGGAGAGGGGGGTTTCCTGGTTATTCGGTTCCAGTGGCCATCATCCCGTCTGTGTTAGGGAAACCGAGGCACAGGAATACTTGTATCTGGTCCACTGTGCTAGTTGGGTGCCGGGCTTTGCACTCTGACCATATGACCCCCCACTCTCTCATCTTCCCTGAAAGGGGGGTCCCGCGGGCACCACTCATTTTGCCCTGCTGGCACTGACCGACCCAGCCCCTCTGCTCTCCCCTCCTTTGGCCCCCGGGGAGCCCGTGGACCAGTTTGCAGGAAGCCCTTCTCCAGGGGGGTGTCCTGCTGGGGGTGGTGGAGACGGGTGAGGGGCGGGAACCTCCTGATCAGGGACCCTGCTGAAGGCAGTGTGGTCACAGTGAGGGGGACTTAGTCTCAGCTTCTCGGCTCAATGCGGCCCAGCTCCAGAGAGAAGGGAGGAGGCCCATTTCTCCGAGGGCTGGTGTTTTTTGATGTTGGCTTTGAAGACCCCTATCCGGCAAGAGCCAACTCCAGTGACGCCTCTACCCCACAGACACTCTCTCCCACTTGCCCTCCCTCCCCAGTTCTATTTTCCAATGATGAGGGCTTTATGCGCCATCTGATGGCGGTGTTATGTGTCATTTCCCTCTGCTGTTCTCATCTCCCTGGAGCTCTTAGAGCCCTGGGACCACTCTGGCCTCAAAATGCTGCAGGACAGTGACGTGACAGCGCCAAATGCCATGAAGGCCGCACCTGGGGTGCTCATCATGTCAGCTCTCGGTCAGTTTCAAGGGAAAAACAAGGGCTGAGTTAATTTTGAAAAGATGGGATCATTCCCCATTGACTCAGCTCCCACAGGCCAGCTCTGCTTCCTTGTGCACTTCAACAAAAGGAAATGCTTCTCCGGGCCCATGTGCAGAACAGCGAATGCTCTGTGAAGTCAGCGGTTCTCTTTTCAGGCAGGAACAGCCATTCTGAAACCAAATTCCTTCTGCCCTGCACTGGCCCTGAGCCAGCTCTGCAGCATCTATAGCAGTGATGGCGCCTTTGGAGCTCGGCGTGTCAGCATTTTGAAAAACCCTAACTTAACTCTGGTGCCGTGTCACATATAGAAATTTTTAAATATTTGCAACCATAGTAAAACAAAGACTTATATTTTTGATATTTATTTTATATATTTAAATGCCATTTAACAAAGAAAAATCAACCAAAAAAATGAGTTTGCATGTCACCTCTGACGCGCGTGTCATAGGTTCACCATCACTTATCTATAGTGTACTGCTCATCTCCTCCTCTATCCAGCATTTCATCCATTCATCTGACCACTCTCCTTCCATCTATCACCCATCCATCCGCCAATCATCCACCATCCATCACCCATCACCCATCCATCTACCATCCATCCATCCATCCATCCACCATCCATCACCCATCCATCTACCGTCCATCCATCCACTGTCCATCCACCCATCCTTTCACTCATCCATCAACCCACCCATCTACCATCCATCCATCCATCCATCCACCATCCACCACCCATTCATCCACTCATCCATCAACCCACCCATCTACCATCCATCCATCCATCCATCCACTCATCTATCCATCCATCCACCTACTCACCCACCCACTCATCCATCCACTCGTCTATCCATCCATCTACTATTTATCCATCCACCATCCATCCACCTACCCATCTACCATCCATCCATCCACCATCCATCTACCCATCCATCCACTCATCCATCAACCCACCCATCTACCATCCATCCATCCATCCATCCATCCATCCATCCATCCATCCATCCACTCATCTATCCATCCATCCACCTACTCACCCACCCACTCATCCATCCACTCGTCTATCCATCCATCTACTATTTATCCATCCACCATCCATCCACCTACCCATTTACCATCCATCCATCCACCATCCATCTACCCATCCATCCACTCATCCATCAACCCACCCATCTACCATCCATCCATCCATCCATCCATCCAT